CATGTCTCACCACGAAGTAAATTTATAATTCACAACATGACACTAGTTTTTAATTTATTTATTCAAAAAATAAATTAATTCTTTCATTTTTGTCAGTATGTGCTAAATTGTTTCTGGATGTCCACTCTCGTCTGGTAAACTAAATCAATATCTGCATATCCTGAATCTTATTAAATGAATATCTCCAGTATACTTCGAACATTTCAAGGAATGCCTTTCTTGTATGCTACAAGTCTTGGTAAAAATAAAGTTCAGAACCCAATGCATATGCTTTCCTTATACAATTTACGACTTTCGACTGGTTTACAAAGGAAAATTTCCTTGACAAACAAAGAAATTTTCATCGATTCAAGCTAAAAATGGAATCTACTCCCGATTCATTAAGGAGGCTTATTGGGAAGGTTTCTTTTATGTTTAACCAAAGAAAGCAGATAATTATATATTTTAGAAACGTTTTTCTATCGTTAAGATGTTGCCTGATTCAACAAATCGACCACAAAAAAGGAATTACAACAAACTTACCAGTATATCTTTAGAGAGTGGACATCCAGAAATTGATGAATGAGTTCTTTTTCCCAACTTGACATTCGTAGTTATAGAACAAAGTGAAGATTAGTAGTAATTACATTAAATTAACACATAATCTTATTTCTGCTGTTGGAATAAAGATGCACAAATCAATACACGTAGATAGTACATACAAAAGAAAAAGAACGTGTGGTGTAGGGTACATGTGCACGAAAGGTCTGTTGATAGTCAATAAAATGTTTTTACTTAAGAATAATAATGTCATTTTAAGAATATCACTTTTTTTTATCTGATGTTATATTCAGATTATTATATTTTATGGTATTATGATTGCTTCTTCGGCAATTTTATAAGGGAAAGATGATCCATGTTTACATGTTACAGGTACTTAACTACAAAAGAGCATATAAGATAAAATATTTCTAGACAGTGGTTGTTTTTAAAAAGCACGTTTAATTAATAAACGATTAATATACTTTTAAATAGGTCTAGATGTAGTTGGAAAGAGACACGCTAAAGAAACTTAAATCAAATACTAGTATTCTCTTTCATTTCAGTATTAACTGGAAGAACAAGTAAAATACATTTCATGAAGGTTACTTTGAAACTGAATTATAAAAAATCTTTTTTCTCGGCACCATATGTTTAAACAGTCTGGAAATATACTGAAATGTCAGACACTGGCAGATTTTCAAGTTCATTTTTTTTATATAATAACTAAAACAAAACATTATCTTTTCTTCAATTTCCAATGGAGTCTACGTGTTCCCTCCCTGAAGAACTAAATGTTTCAGATATAGCGTGATGTGAAGTAATCGTAACATCGAAAGAATACAATATGACTGAACGGGCTTATAAATATATCAAATAGGTAATTTGTGAATGCAAATGGGAACAAGTTATTAATCTGTGGATATTTATAAAGAACAAAATCTTTCTGGCCACATCAATACTTTTACGATATGAATTCTTTTTATAGTAAGCAACAGAAAGATATATTGGAAGATGTGACCTTTAAAATAATTGCTTTTAGGTAATTATCTCATATCCTCAAAATATAAATAGTCCTGGTATATATAGATTCAAATTTCATTACAAATAATAATGATCAAAATGAATTTATAAATTTTAAAGGTCCGATGTTTAAGAAATATTTCAAAAAGAAAACTACATTCATAGACGAATTAATCGATAGATTCTAACATATAATTAGTTACAAATGTGAGCAATACATTTTTCTGTCTAATTAGAATTCTAGCAATTCCTGAGATGAATACACATATATGTGTTTTTTTACGTTTAAACCGGGTTCAGGAGCTAGGTGACTGACTCTATTTTCGGGTCAATAGACGCCACAGATAATTAGTGTTTGTGGGTGCACGGCTTGCTCTCTCATCCAATTTTAAACTTTATGCATCTTGTCGAACATTGCTTCTCCAATACTTGTCCATTTTTACCTTTCTCTTTTGCCGTACAATTTTCACCTTGTTTCTCGTCATTTTTCATTTTCATATCATTCTTGGTAGATATGTAAAACACTTGGCGGAGTGATAATTGTCCTCGTCGCTATGGATATTGTTCTTAACTATTACGTTATTGTTGTGTTTTTGCTAATATTCACTACGATATTCAATCCCTTCCAAGAAAACAAAAATGTGCTGCAGATTATCGAGTGATCGTTTGGCATTTGCTAGTCGATACAAGCATGGGACATAGGACTGAACTAACTATTGCAGAGAGTCAGTAGGAGAGATATGTTGCTTGTGGACTTGACGGATGACACGAAATCAGTTATGTTTAATAGCTGGATTATTAAGTTTATGCCGACATTGGTTGACATTAAGAATGTATAAAATTCCTTCTGAGATGTTAAAGAAAGGATATCTAATTCGTAGCCTTATTCTTTCTGTGTTGTACATCGCTTGTGGGTTTTTGGCAAAATCTCTTCCATTTTGAGGGTACTGTGAGGTGACCTTTGTGACGTCATGACAGGGCATCATGCAGCTATTCATTCGCGAGGCATGTATGTAATATCCTATTTTTATCTCTTCATACTTTAATATGCTCATGGCTGAATGTCTCGATTATATCTTCTTCCAAAGTAAACCATAATTTTCAGGTCAGGTGCATCGTATCATAACTTTCTTCAATTACTTAGCAAAACTACTATAAGCTTCGTACAAACATTTGGCGGCTTTCCGCCGTGTTTTACTTGGACAATGTTCATAAACCAGGTTTTCTTAGCCAAAATGTCAGGCAAGAAATATCCGCGCAAGACTTTTCCGTAGCTAATATCTAAACAAATTTTAATTCATAACATTTGCACATTATGTCATAGGTTTTCTTCATAAAAATATTTTACTGAAATCAATTTATATGGAAAATTAATAGAAAATTGTTTCAAAAGACAAATGATTGTTTATATTCGCGGAGAACTCTTCTTCAGACAATTAATCTGTTTCTAACGGTTATTTCCTTGTAAAGACAGAGCGAATCAGCATCGTCTGGATTGGCATCACATCCCTTAGCCTATTCGCCCTGTGGCTACCTATAATTTGATAAAAGATATTCTAAGTATGAAACGCCAAATTAGATTACCTCTTGACGACGGGGAAAACCGTTGTCAACAATGCTCTAAAAGTATTCTCCGCTAGAATTAGTAAGTGCGAAAAGGTTCACTGGAAGATAGAAGGTTTTACAGTGTTAGTCTCTTAAAGAATACACGGAGGACTAACGTACATATGTAGCTATTATCAATTTGTATGTCAGTCTGCAGAGTCTTTGAATGTTTGAAATAGAATGTAGTGTCTCTTAGAATGCCACATATACTTATATATTTGTATACCTGTTTTGTCTTGAGAATTAATAAAGAGGTACTAGTACAAATACTAGTATGTCATTTAAACAAACTATGATATATGATGTTGAAAAGATAAAAATTGAAGCTGAAAATCTGAATATTCTTCTTATCAGTAAAATTCCTGATTTAAATTGCTAATATGCTGAACATTTCCCAGGAGCAATTTGCTTTCAATTTTCAGCAGACATGTTTTGATAAACAGGTAAATCCTCCAAAGCAGAGCTCAGTAAGCAGAGATAGAACAGAATGCAAACCGCTGGGTTTTAAAATATTTTTCATAATAACTAATTCAATTTTGATGCATTTTAGACAGATTTTTAAAAACATCATATAAACGACAAATATTTTTAGAATTTGTGGGTTAATATTTGTTTTTATTAACATGAATTTCGTTTCTAGCGAGGACTTTTCGAATGAAAGGAAATCCATGATGGTAACTGTGCCTCATTTTGCTTTTTTTTAATCAACCGATGATGAAAGCAAGGCGTGTGTAGAATTCACACTTAAAAGTATTCCAAGCACATTGCTCAATTTCCGAGAGATCTGAAAGAGTATCAGGTTTATGCCGCAATAAAAAATATTATCTCGGACTAAACGCCCAAAAGCACGCTATCTTATCTTTAAAGCTATGAAAACGTATAGGTAGCGGCTTTACATATCGAACCATCTGGGTCCAAAGATTCTTAAGAAGCACTTGGTAAAATAACAACCAATCGCAGCAGGTAAAATACCAATCGTATCGAAAATCATATTAATCGGATTACCTCTCGACACTTCCTCCGGCTTTAATTACCGACTGCACGTGTGTTCTTCGTATGTTTTGACTCTCGATTCGCCTTCCACCCTGTGTTAATTTTATACATATTTACAAATTTATGTAATTATCGGATAACTTCGGCAGCTATATGATTAAAGCAAAACATGGGGCTCTTGGAAGGTTGTTGTTTCTTGTAGATTGTTTTATTTCATGAGCAAATGTACGGAAGGTGTTGAATATTTCCTGAACCAATCATAATATAATTGACGTCAGACATGTTGAAAGTATAATTGCTATCCGAGATAATTAAATGCACTGCCTAACATTTTATAAGAATAATTCCAACTGCATTCAACGAAGTTCTTAATCATAGAATGGTGCTTGAACAGCCTCGGATTATAAGCGATGTACTTTTGCTCCTTAACAGTAAAAAAAAAAACCCAAAGCCCTAAGTAATTTTTTTCAATTTCTAATAGAAAAAATTCTATATTTTCTGTATGTTAATAATATCGTTCAAATTGTCATTTGTTTTTTTTTTCTTTTAACGAAATCTGTGCAGTCCGATCGATACTAAAATGACAATGTTAGTTGAGAAGATGATTAATTTTGTTTCATTAGACCTAGTTTTCAGTGCCAGATTTCTGATAAACTCAGAAGAGATGAGTTAAGCAGTGAATCATCTTCTCTGTTTCGTGTAGTTACTTTGATACGAGTCAGATCAGGTTAAAGTGTATCATGTAATTGTGAGTTTCTATAAAACCAGACATTGTAAAAGAGGTAAACCACAGGCACAATAAACCAAATGTACATCCTCTAGAAAAATTGCAAGAATTCAGTTCTCTCAGACATGAAGAATTTAAAAAAGAATAATTTTATTGAAAAGCAATATCATCAACTATGTGCATCAGAATAAAATTGTGCCGAAATACTTGATGAAGCAATAGTGGACATTTTGCCATCAGAAATTAGAAGAAAATACCTTCAGTGTTTAGTCGTTTTGTATAAACGTTCGAAATGTATGAGTCATATAAGTTTCTTTAGGGTTAATAGTTCCTTCCACCCTACATCCAAAAGAAAAATGAAACTGTTCTGTGACTGCGAACTGGTCCAAGAAAAAGCCTAACAACTGCCATCAAGCTGCCGTTGTCAAACTGAATAATTCGAAAGAGAAAATAGAGAATATGAATGCTTATCCCCGTTAAATCGCGTTTACATAAACATTATACAATGTACATATTATATGGTATATATATAAATATATACATGGATATAATAAAATAATTAACAGAATGTGGTAGTCGGGAGTCTGGCAAAACCGTAACCCATAACACTTATTATGTAACCCTCGAAGGGGGCAGAAACGGTTAATGTCAAACAATGGATAAATTAAGTGCTTGTAGTTCACTAATAAGGAACATCCAAGTAGACTTTCTTAAGGTTTGGGAACTGATCAAATTTATTCTAAAATCACGAAGTTGTCTGGGATAGAACATGGATTTAGAGTTTCCGTATTAATCCTGCAATGTTCATTCTGTAAGGTAATTATTTCTCATTTCCCTCGTTTATTAAGTAGAACCAGTAACTGTTACTTTTAAACAACAGGCAAGTTTTCAGGAAAATATATTTTATGAAGTTTATTTACGAGTAATTTGAACATGAAACTTGGAATGAATTGTGCTTGGTTTCTTCAGTATTGGCAAATATGTTTCAAAAGTATGATTATTTGGTATAATTTTATTTTTAAAAGAGCATATTTATTTACAAATGTCATTGAAAATCTCCAATTTGATGCAGGAAAAAATTGTAGGAAGGGTCTCAAGGGTTTCAAGATTTTCCCTCAAAATCTGTGATATGCTTAAATTCATTATTTCTGTGTGTCCTGCAATACACAACTCATAAGTAATTGCAAAACATATGAATGTACAATATTAAAAGTTATTGTATAAATTATAGGGCATTTACCGCTTGTATCTATGTAAAAATTGCAATACTCTTTCTGGGTGGTAGAATCGTCTTTAAAAAATCTGAGCTAGAATTTAATATCGAGTGCGCGTTACATAATATCCTTTAATAACTTAAACCAGTAGATTTGTCTAAGATATAGAGTTGTAACAGAAGATAGATCTTGCTAAGCATCTTTGTTGATATTCGTCGGGTTAGGGTTTACATTTACAAAACGAGCTCACTTACTGTTCCAGAAATAGTCTCAGATACAAAACACCTGCGTTGTTGGATATGATGATCAAACGTTTCGCAAATAATCTCAAACATTGCGCAAACGATGCTCTCTTCCTAGACACTGTGTGCAAGGGTGGGTAAACAAAGCCAATTATGTCATTTCAAATGCTCCTCGCACTGACTCAGCTCAAGTCGTCACGGGATTGGTGGTGGGCACCTTAATGTGATTACGTCACGAGAGAAGCAAGAGGTTATGTTGTCTTAAAATTTCGAAAGTTGTGTCTCTAAACACCCTCGCCAGGAAATTACACGTGGGGTACTTAAAATCTATTCTAACCAGTGGAATAAATATTGACAAGATCTGTTTATTTTTACATACGCGCACGGCGCGTGCAATCAGATTTTTCGCAGAAAGTTGGATAAGAAGATCAGTGCTGACAGAGTTCCAGAAGGATTGATAGACGGGCAACCCCTAAAACATCATTAACGTCAAAATTCATCGGAGATGAAAACGTGGATATGTACATATTGTTACAGTTTTTGGTAGCCCGGGCGCAATATTGTATCAGTGGACCTTAGTTGATTTCTATGGATATTGTCACAGACTTTGGATGTAATTACTTTCGGATCTAGAATGGATATAATTGACCAACCACTTGTAGGAAATGAAATAGGTGAAAAGTTTCTTATTTCTTGTATTTATTCATTGTGAGAAAAGATATAACTATTGCGATTTACTTGCTACAATAAGAAATAGACGAAACCTTAAAATTAAAAATTAAGACTGATTTGAAAAACCGGTTAAATTTGGCATATGTAATACTTCTTAATTATTTAAAAATGCTCTCAGGAAATGAAACATATCTTAGAAAGTATTTCGTAAGACAAAAAGTTTAGAGTGTGTTGCTGTTATTTGATAGAATTAGTTTATATGTGTTATTTCACAAAAACGAATTCAGGGCAAAATAAAGTTTGAGTGCGCTAGGGTGACAGAGTTGATATTAAACAATTAATGGCATGACACAGAGACGGAACTAAGATAGGGAAATGGATGTGATCGGTCTCTGCAAGTGGTAACACATGGTTTTGATTACATGTACGCATCTGTGCACCATCCCCAAGTCATGTGTATGGACGGTGGTTGATTAACACTCCGTAGGACGGGAAAAAGATTGGTTAACATAACAGTACGTTTGATTAAAAAAAAGAAACAAAATCCTTCTAGAGTTGTACCCTTATAATTTTTTTGTAAAGCGATAGCCTCTTGGGAGCAAGTGTCAGCTAGATTAGTACGTATTGTTGATTATGAGGGAAAGGGTGTAAGAGCAAAAGGGTGTTTCATCAGACGGAAATGAAATAAGAAAAGAACTACAGGATAGAATTCTTTTTCTTTATGACTTATTCCCAAGAAAAATTTATGTGTTAAATACAGATTATAAGAAAATTTTGATCCAGAGTTTATTTGTAAGTAAAATCTTTTACACATATTACAATACTAATTTCGTAAATTTTTATTAGCAAGAATTAATTTAGAATATCTATCTGCCATTTCTTTCTCATTTTTTGAGAAAGGTGATACCGTTGCGTTGAATTTTTAACCGACTTTGATGCTGTTCGGAACACTTGGTATAACGTCTATGACAAGATATATTGAAAGCAAATTCAATGGATGAAATTGATCAAGATTACAAATCGTAAATTACACTTAAATGGGGCAGATTATTGAGCGATGGTGTGTTTTATTTGCTTGACATCCGCAAACACTGAAAATATTTGTATATCGTACATGTATTTAATGAGATTAAAGTCATTAATGGAAAGGGAATGGCGCGAAAATGGCATAACTCTGACTGCATGCTTTGATAATAATCTTTCAGTTTTTCTTGTCTGGAAGAGTTTCACAAGCTAAATTAAAAGTACATACATGTATCAAAAGTACAATGGTCGATCTCGGTCTTTTGATATTTTTTTTTCTATTTAATCAAATGGCTAACTGCAATGCCATTTAGACCGGAATGGTAGAATTGTTCAATCCGCCTTCAAGAAATACCGAAAATCATCGATTTACCTTGGTTCTACCACATGATTGATATAGAGCTGGCTCATCGTTACCAATGGGGAAATTGCAATTTTCTTGATAATTATAATTGAATTACGGTCAAGTTTTAGTGTTAACAGTTAATACACTTAGACGCGCATTGCTACGTTTGGCGTTTATACGGTAGTAATTATTCATTATTTATGAAGAAACAAAGAGATTGGAATAGCACCCACAGCGAAACTATATACTTATGGCCGTAATTGTAAGTCCATAAACCGTATCTCTATCATAAATATATCTAAAATTTATACCAAGGGTAACTGCAGGACACACGTTTGGTCAACGTATTATACATTACAAATGAGATATCCAACAATGAGTGTATATTTCCTATAAGTAACGAAATCCGACAGTAAACTCGTATTTCTTTAAAGGTTATGGATGTTAAAAGAGGTATGCAATTTTTATTTTAAAAGTTTTTTCCCCGTAAATAATTATAATTATAGTGTAGATACATTAATTTAACCTCAGTAAAACGTTTGATTTTTATATTCTTTGGTTACCGTGTTTGAGAAGCGATATTAAGATGTTTTAAATTATAATAAACATGATACAGACAGATATATTTCATAAATTAATGATCAAAGGTCCTTTTCATTCGACTTTTTTTTTAAATTGTTTTTATGACATGATATTATTAGGAGTTAGATTTTAAACTTGTTTACTGTACTTGAAAAAGAACACGTGTACAAACATCTTAGATAAGAATAATACCATATTGTAAATTGTATTACATCTGCTGAAATCACTTTAAAAAACGGAGATGTAAACATGTCATATTCCAGTGTTTATTTTATTCCGTCCATAAAACAGGAAAATTGTTTTCTAGCAGATTTAATGAGTTAAACATTTTTTGATGGAATGAGATATGAATGAATATACATGTTCACGATAAATTAATCGGGCAATGTCGTTCCAATATCTTAAAAAGAACGACCACCATAGAAGACTCTTATATTTGTTTTCCAGAGTAAGTCGACAATCACTTATGGGTGATTTAAATGATAAAGGGAATTTTTCTTACAAGTCATAAGTTTGAAGCTGTTGAGCAACAAATGGGCTGTATTCACTATTCCTGTGAAATGATTTTATTTCGCAAAGCAGAATGGTGGAACCATTGGTTTTGCTTACAAAGCATTTATATAGCATTGCAACCTATTGAGTTAATATAAATCCCTGCAAAATACATCAATGGTTTGTCCAAGAAAAAAAAAGAAAAACGACAGTTACCCCATTCAAGCTCGCAAAAAATAGTGCAAGATTTTTCTTACTAAAAAAAAAATGTTTTATTTGACATTTTAATAATTTTCTCCTTTATGATCTATTTTTAGGATGGACAGTATTATTGGGTCGGTTGGTCGAGTAGCCAATGTCAAGGTTCGGAATGACGACGATCTGGTAGACCGCCTCAATCATTTCTACACCACCGGCATTCTCATCATATTCACCGTGGTGGTCAGTGCCCGCCAGTACGTCGGTGATCCCATCCGGTGCTGGTGCCCGGCGGAATTCCCGGGTACACACGTGGACTACACGAACAATATATGTTGGATCTCTAACACTTATTACATACCATTAGACGAGGTAAAGAATCCTTTGATCAAAGAGTTCGAATAGATACAGTTCAATGAAAATTGATTACCATCTTAGTATACGAGGGTGATACAGGTATGTCAGTGGCGATATATAAAGACCTTATCCATACAATTCCATAGAATTATTATCCAAAGTGAACTTTGGGGGAGAGGGATTTCTAAAGTGTGAATAATGTTTCAGGAAAGTTCAAATTCATTTAAAAATCAGTGGAATTAGAATCCAATGTGACCTTACTCTAATACCGGTATATGAATTTGATACACATAGATATCTGATTGCAGTTAATTAGATATTTTATTAAAACTATATTGATGAAATAAAGGCTTCAATACCATGAATACATTGAACGAATTCATAATTTTCATTTAGAAGTTCCTTTATTATTAGATTAAAATATCCAAAATACTGTTCATAACAGTCGTGCATATCAGATTGACTAAGTTTTGTCCAGAGTTGATATGATATTAGGGAAAAGACATTGATAACCGTAATAACTATTTGGAACGTGGTGTATTTTGAGGTCAAAACAGAGATAAATATTTTAATATTCCTGTTTTCCCAGCATATATTAGGTGTAAATCAGACGAAATTAGTTATGAATTCACACCTGAAGCCAGCTGAGATGATTCAGATATGTTGAAACCCCTTTTTGCAAGATACATAAAGATAAAAACGTAACATCCTGTAAAAGGATTTTTGAGATAACAGTTTTTGTATCCTTGTCGTATTGTTGAAAGTTATAAAAAGTCATTTTTAAAAAATTCATTTTGAGATTTACCCCTTTATGTTTTTCTTACTTTTTCTGAAAAAAAAAACAACAAAATTTTAAAGAGCTTTTTATTGATTCTGTAAAAAATTATAACTTATAGACCTCTCGTATTATTAAACAATCAGGAGTTCTGATGTTCTCTGTTCGTTCGTTTTGAGCTCTTTTTCCCGAGGTGTTCCTGAAGTTCCTGGTGGTTAATTCGAATTTTCGTTTTGACCAACCAAACATTTGTTTACATTTTTTATCGACCAATCAAATTGAGTGTTTGTAGCATGTGTCATTGTAAATGTAAATAATGCAGACGCCATTATTTAGAGTTTAAGCCCTGTCTTCGTTTACGTATTGTTTCTTTTGACAATTTCTAACTTGTTACACATCTTTTTTTTAAACTCTTCTAATTTAATTCTGATAAATTCCTACACAATGAAATAATTAATATTTCATAAGAGACAATTTAATACTGTGAAAAAAGGAAAGTTAAGGAGGCTGAGGGATAAACAAATTAACCTTCAGATGTAACTTATTTTTAGATGTGATATCCTAGGCCATCAACTAATATTTGGCAAAGAAAAAAATCCATACATTGTACTTTTAAAATTTGATCATTTTCATATATATCTTTATATTATGGAACTTGTCCTGTAAAGGAGACCAAATTCCAGCCCTTTAAAGATAAAGGCATCTTGTACAATAATGAAAACTATTTGACATGGAGATACATATATGTTCAGCATACAGTGGACATTAGTTCAATTCGAAAATATACCTCGGCATAAAATTTGAACCAAATTATATAATTCTTGGCTGAAGTTAACTCATGAATATACGGACCTGATAAGGTACACTAGGTTTTGGTACTCACCACAATCACCAAATATTCGAAATCTGTTGAAATCTGTTTGCAAGCGTAAAAACTATGTACCCTTAATAAATTGTAAAGAAAAAAATCAAGGATATATAATTGAGAGTCTGACTTTTCTCTGATGAACTAGACGAGGATTTCATTTCACAGCAGTGTATGCAACACACAACGTCCTTATTTCCAAAGAAATTATTGAACTATATATATATATTTAGATTTTTGAAAAGCTAAATGTAAGATAGCGGCTCTGCCTTTTTCCCATCGACTTTTTATTTGCACGATATTCCAATATTATCTTTCAAGCGTTAGAAAGGAATGAAATTATGTTATGATTTATGACATAAGTTTTCTGATTTAGCGCCCCGGGAGTATTCTTACTTGATGGCAGTAGTATTTTCCCATCCTTTATGTAAATTTGTAAAATACTGACAATTTGTATTCATCAGTTTTCCTCTAAGACATCGTTAGGCATGCAAAAAGAATCCATAAAACAACCATTTTTGGTGTTGTGAAGGCCAAAATAAGGGGGTTAATAATGAGATATCTTATGAATCACGTTTAATGTGAGGCGAATATTAGAAAACATAAACATTTTGGTATATTGCCCTCTTTTAGCACTTTTCATCTTGAGGCCTTGTATATTTTTCAAACAGTACTCAAACCTCTGAAAAACTAGGTTTTATCGGGGTTTTGACTGGAAATTCCATTAGCCTGCCCAGAGCAAAAGCTAATGTATCTTAGAATCGCAACATACACACAAACACAAGCATTAACAGATTCTATCTCTTACAGCAAATGTATTTGATGTTATCTGGAACTTACTTAGGATTAAGCAAACTAAGAATAACAGTGCAAAAATGAAATGCCTTTAATACTTTATTTCATCCTGTTTCATAAAGTATGAATTAATTGAATTAATCACCAGCATTAATGGTTTTAGATAAAATGTTGTTTATTAATAAGTTCACCGCCGGAAGTGCTTCAGATTCGTCAGCGTCTGATGAACTCTTGAAGGGCAGCAAGGGCAATTACGTTCGCAGATGTTTAAAAATGCACCATACAACGTCTGCTTAAACTAAAATAATACAAAAAAGTAGTACAGGGTCGAAATGTTTCCTACACTTCGTGTAAACCACTTCAAAAAACTACGTTACCTCAAAGTTATCTTTTTGATGCTGAAATCATTTCTTTGTGCCGAGAAACATGAACCTTGGCGAGGGTCTTTGAAGTGTTTGTATAAGTCTTAAAGTTATATAATTATTGTTGAAACAAAAGTGACTCGAAACGTTCAGTGTCATCTAAGAGCTTTGAAGTAAATATGATAAAGTAGCAAAATGTGACATTTCTCACCTTGAGCCATGCCAGGGGAGATCTCATGATATGACTGACAGGTGTTTCTCAAAGTAGTGGTACAGTGAACGCAAAACTGTGTCATCTTTCCTCCTTTTCTACACTTTTGACTGTATTATTTATAGTTTAAACTCACAAAAACAGATCTTTTTTCTGCTCGTTGTTCGTGGCACCATTCAAAACTTGGATAATGTTTTGATTCCTCGTTTCCAGTGCGCCAGGTATACTGTGGTCACAAAATAATGTTACCTACAATAAACATGTTATATGTTACAGAATTATTCGTAGTTTGTTATTCTGAAAACAAACAAAATGTTATAACATATAGAGGTATAATACACTATGACGAGATTCTGATCAAGTAAAATTTTTGGGACAAAAATATTCGGAGTTGAGTAGTGCTACAGGCCTGAAAATTGTTTCAGAAAAAGCTGATGACATTCACAGTAAAATCAGTTAGTGCTAACAGCTAAACATTTTAATTTTTTTAATACAGTTTATCATTACATATTTTACTACTTGTTGATTCATTTACTTCTAAGTAAAAGTATGATTAATGTAAACGTTTTGTAATTATGATTTTAAACGATATTTTCTTTTTTCAGATGGTGCCGCCACAACATCAAATACATTTGCGAAGAGAAAAAGAGTTGAACTACTATCAATGGGTTCCGGTTATGTTACTTGTGCAGGCACTCATGTTTTATATTCCCTGTATTATTTGGCGGATTTTAAATGGCCAGTCGGGAATAAATGTGGACAGAATCGTCAGTCTTGGTAGCAATGCCCAGTTTGAAAGTCCGGAGAATCGAGCTCGGACTATAAAATATCTTGTGAGACACGTTGATAGATGTCTTTCAAATCAACGAGATACACGAGGAACCTGTTGCGTGCAACTACGACATATTTTGTCCACAAAACTATCTATACTGTGTGGTCGACGCTATGGAAACTTTCTCATGGCAACATATTTCCTCATGAAAGTTTTGTATATTGCTAATGCCATTGGGCAGTTGTTCTTGCTCAATGAGTTCTTAGGAACAGATTACAATGTCTATGGATTCCAAGTTTTAGACGAATTAGTTAATGGAAAAGAGTGGTCTGGTTCTCACCGATTTCCAAGAGTGACTCTCTGTGATTTCCAGATTCGCCAAGTGACCAATTTACAACAGTATACGGTGCAGTGTGTTCTGCCAATTAATCTCTTTAACGAAAAAATATACATTTTTATGTGGTTTTGGCTTGTTTTTGTATGCATATTTTCTTGCTACAGTTTAACTAATTGGATGTGGCACATGGTTGTTCCAGCGACGAGAATTCATTATGTGCGAAAATTTTTGAAGTTGATGGAACGGTTAGGTACTGGACCGGACCGAAAACTCGCGACACGGTTTGTACTGGATTATTTGCGACATGATGGAGTGTTCACGCTAAAATTAATCGGAAAGAATTCAAGTGACATAGTGGTGGCGGAAATCATTGCAGAGTTATGGGACATGTATCGCAGCAAAAAATGCATCCAAATAAGGACTAATAACCAAAATTCTGGCCACGAAACGGAAGAGGCGGATGTATGACTAAGCAACGGTAGGATACCACGTGGTTTAAATGAACAGTTGGAAGAAAAGGAAACGGAAGATGACGTCACCCAAGTGTAAAAGGAGTTCTTGTGGGAATAGAGTAGTTATGGTTAGATCGACCTTAATCGCATTCGGGCGTCAACGACTCGTCCTGACGATGTAAATGAACTTTTGCAACAACTAAACCAGCATTTCTAGTCCTTCGATTGCATTGATACAATAATTCCCTGTTTACACACAAGAGATAACAAAAGACAAAAATATAGAAACATGTAGTAGAAGAAATGAAATGTTTAAAAGATCTAAGGATATGGGGAGGAGAATTTTTAAAATACGAGAAAATGCTCAAAATCTAAAATATCATTCGAAAATGTTCAATGAAAATTTTATAAATTCATAAGAATTCAAAGCTTTTTTTAGACGTCCACGATCGACATTTGCACAATGTCTTCCTTAAGCACACAGTTGAAGATCTACACCTTCTATGCATTTGTCGCGTTGCCTTCACTAAATAAAGTAGCTCAGGAAGACCCGGACGAAATCTTTGCAAAGAATCTCCTTCTAAACAAACATGGTGACTACAGAGCACAGATCATTCCAATGTAGGAGAAAGGTTTAGTGTAAAATTAACAAAAATAAAGACATGAATTTCATATGGGAGGCGTGCCAAAATCTTCATTAAGGCCTTAAACTGTAAACTGATTCATATGCAATCAAATTATTTGCACAGACGTGAAAAAAATCTCCTAGGAGGTTCCTGTACATGTTTGAAATCCACCACGTGACCATAAAAAGCACAACATCCAAAGTTTGAACCAAATATGACAAAACTCTAAAGGTGCTATTACATTGCTTTTTGCCATTTTTCATCAAGTGTTTAAGAGGTGTTCGTAATATTTTTCATTCTTTTAATGAAAGCAAAGCTTTTTGTCAGTCATGTTTCATTTTCCTCCATACATTTTCGCCTGAGTCATGCAAGAGAGATAAAGCCCTATATTGACTCATAGTATGTTCGTAATTTTTATTTCCGAGATGTTGACTTTTGTATTATAAGACAGATTTTTATCAGAACTAGTTTTCACAGTGTAATTTTTTCAATTGATTTTTAAAACTAATGATCTTTTATGTGATATGAATTCGTTTATAATATCAAAGATCTCCAATGGTTTGCTACCTGTATTTTTGTTTCCATTTTGAAGAGAAGTATTGTCGAAAGAGAGCATCAAAAGCCTGATGTAGTATGTAAAAATTAACATTTCAATGTCTTGACAAATCAAGTCTCTGTCGTTAATTACAAAATAATATTTTCCACTGTATTTTGAAATTTTCAAAGATTATGATAAGCCCTTCAGCATAAGGTAAAACAAAATAAGTTATACATGTAGTTATGTAATCTTTGGAGTTTCTTACCGTTATCTGATGCCTTTAGTTTTAGAGAATATGATCGCCTTGTTTATTACAAGAATTTTTTCTTATTACATGTTTTTTGAAATTTTTGTCCTTTATTGTGGCACTGGATACAATTTGAAGAAATCTCTTTCATCGATAGTACATGAGTATGACAGTCTGACAAAAAACTTAAATTTTGATGAATGGTGTTATAGGGATAGATCTGTTATGTTATAGAGAAAACTATTATCTAACATGTCTAAAACAGTAGAGTTTTAGGAGTTCTTGGTTACAGACATGTATTTTAAACCGCCCTTTTTCATTTTCTGCATTCAGTCTCATTTCCTTTTTAACCCTAATGATTGTAATTTCCTCTAAGAAAAATAATTCAAAGGATTTATTTGGTCGTTTGAAAATTGGGAAATAAATGTTTGATCCCTGAACACAGTGAAAAATTAAACTATAATGGGAAATTTAAAAACTGTTACTCTTTTCCAAACTGACATATTAAAAATTGAAGGTGAATGAAGTCAAGTCACAATATGTAAATAATCTTCTGTGATGAATAGTATTTTTGAATGTGATATTGATCCTTTCATGTTTGGCTACAATTAACATAACGTTATGTGTGTAGTTGTTATTTTACACAAAATTTTGAAGTAGATTGTAAATTAGCTGTAACAGCTTTCACGTCTGGTAACAGAAAATTTATCATCTTAGAATAAATAAATGTATGGTATTGCTCTTATTCAAATCTAATTAGATCTGGACAAATGTTCATCTGAATCCATTATACGGCCTTTCTCTATTCGATGACTTGCTATATTATCGTTGTTGTATTTTATGTCACTTAAAGGTTCACTATTATTTGTAATAACAAAGACAACAGATGCTGCATGTGTAGTGTCACGTTGTCTGTAGTACTGTTTGTTGAAATCACATTGAAACTTCTTTCCAAATAATTACGAAGTAAATATTTCACTTTACACTGTGTATAAACAAAAGAAAGTATTAATTTTTCATTACAAGAAATACAAATTATATAAATGCAGGAAGACGTTAATTAAATCTCTCATTAATTATATTTGTGCAAATAATTAACCCATGTCCGGTGATATAGAACTCTGAGGAACAACTACATCTTAATCATACTGATCACACAATTTAATAAATTATTCATCTGATAATTGTTGGTAAAGCTGTTTGCCATTAGAGGATAAATTGTTCAAGTTTTGAAGATATTTATTAAAATAGTTGTTTTGTTTGTATTCAACAAGATTATTGTAAAGTAGAATTTTATTTCATTGTTGCATAAAATTGTTAATTTATTATGATTATTCATTTTCCTATTTATACATGCAGAATCTTTCAATATAATGAGTGATATAATACATGTATGTTGCATATTTGATACTGTACAGGTTTCATGAATAAATTCAAGTCGATTATTTTTCAAATATTGATTTTATTATCTTGCATAACATTGCTTAAACATTGACATTACAAAATTGATACATTTTAATAACAACAATTGAACACTTATAATACGCCCCTACATACATGGTATGTATCTATGTTCTGGTCTGCGTTAGCTGTCTCTTTTATCTGGAAAGAAAAGAATATTTTTAAATGATCTGTACATGTATTTTCAAAGGAAAATGGACACAGTTGCATGACCTTTTTTAATTTCTACAATTTTAACTTTCTATAAGGATATTTTATTCAAGAAAAATCTTGAAATTCAATGACCACTTTATTATTCATAATATAAAAAACAAAAAAAATATTTAAAAAAATTCCCTATAGTGTTAATATATCATTTATTAAAACACCTGATTTTGCAACTGTCAAACAATTCAATAAAAAGTGGAAGGAAGTAAAGTAATTACACGCCTATGTTTTGTATTTTTGATAATTTTGAGATAATTTTGAAGATTCTCAACATGCCTTAATTAATTTCTAATGGCCCCAAAACCCTGATGGGTAAATCTTTATATTAATACACACAATATAGTAATTTTGAAAAAAACAACATTTTTTCTTATCTGTGCCCCGTCTCTCTCTCTCAGAAAAAATTAAAAATTAACATAATTTATTGATATATACAAAGTATCCTAGGCCTGCGCTTACATCTATATAATTATCTTTTTTCCAAAAATTATCAGGAAGAGTTTGGCAAAAAGAATGGTCATGCATTTTTTATTATTCCTTAAGATTGTTTGATATTCATACTCAATACAGACATACACACTGCACAGATGATTTGTCTGATTTAACTACTTTTATGGCATTGTTTATCAAAACGACAATTGAAGACAATAGTGCCACACATAGGAGCGTTCTGTAATGGACTAGTGGCCACATCTTTATCCTTGGGCGGGGCTTGTTACTTTTTTAGACATTCTTATCGAGAAATCTTTTAATATCAGTTTGAATGACGATAAAAATCATGTTTGACCTCACCCTTACCTCAAGAAAAGAACATCTAAGCTTACGTTAAGGTCATAAACCAAATAATCCTAGAGTTCACTAACATGTATAAAGATGTGGTCAGTCTCAAAAAATATCTTAAGTAATTGTTACCAAGGGAAGGAGTCTTACCATTCCAATCAAAATAGAGAAATAAAAATGTCCAAAGGGAGCGAGAGACTGGAAATCCTATTGCTATTATGCTTAAATAATACACTTCCTAAAGCTGACTAGGCATTAAAGATGAGGTCCCGAGAAAAGAGGGAACAATAAAACTAATCAACATTCGACTATACAACTAACCCTCTTTTCTTCTTCAAGTTTACTTAATTCTCTAATATATACATGTATTCATTATTAATAAAACGTCTCTAGAACCTTGGGTTTAGAGCTGAAGTCAGAGAAAAATTTATGTTCTTAGTTAATAGATTGTTAGTGTTTGTTTGCAAACCGCCGGACAGTTCCTGATCAAGGAGGAGGAAGGCTTTCGTAAAGAGATTCTTAAAAACCAAAGCTTCTTAAATTCACATTTTTAATTCATTTCTAAGTTACAATGTACTAATTAATAGTTTATTGCTAAGAACTTACACGAATGAACGTGCGATAACTCTGAATCGTCTGATCGTGATCTTGAAACTGAAAATACATAGTATGTTTAGACAAAACCATCATCATTTTAAGTATATAGTTTATACACTTTCAACAAATACTTGTTGGATAATTATTTGTTAAAAATTAATAATATAACAACATATACACAAGATCTTTCAGTGAATACTTTTGAATCTGAAGACGTAAGACCTAAAAAATCAACTTTGACACTTTTAATACTCACACTTTCTAGTTGGCAGTTTTATGGCTGGAGGATTACTATATGTGACTGTCAGCGGCTTTTTCTGTGAGTACATATTTTCTCTATCTACAAATATTTAATTTTCTGCACAAATTCAAAGAATAGGAAGAAAGCATTTTAATCCATTAATTATCAATTTTCTTGATTTTAAAATCTGAATGATAAAAATGTGAATACAGTATCCTTTCCCTTACCATCATACAGTTGGTTTGTTATATTCCTGGTGAAAGGTTTTGGAGGAACAACTGGCGTGTCAGCTTTAAAATATATAAAAGAGCAATTAATTCAAAATAAAAAGCTGCATATACATATATATACTGGGATATTTATCCAATGGTCTGTTATTGCATATGATTTTCATCCAACCAGTTGTTTCTTATTTCCGATACAAGGTGGAACACATATAAATTTATCTTTTGCAATCATAAAAAAAATTATGTGAATGTTCTCATCATGTATTGTTCGATGTTTTTAATCTTTATATCTTGTTACAGGATTTTGCAGACTTAAGACTCACATTTCAAAAGCATGGATTCTTTTACACTAGGGTCCCTGTCCATCATCACTGTTTTAGAGACTATAAATACAGTAATGATATGAACATTAGTCAAAAAAGAACTGATTCATTGATTGATGAACAAAGCTCTTCAAACAGATGCCTTAAATCGAGGTTAGTATGTTTTTATCTTCCTTGCAGTCAGCTAAAATATATTCTTTTTTACTCTAGCCAGAATTCGTGCATTACCTTTCTTTGGTAATAGTGGTGTTTTCTGTTCATTTCCATATGTTGGCTCTTTAGAGGATTTTGTTTCCGATTTGTTTACTTCTGAAAAAAGAGAAAAAAAAAATTGACAATCATATATCATTGTGTTACGAGTACCTGAGTGCATATCGTGATGTATATGGCAAAGAAATAATTAAATTGCTTCTTTATACAAATAACCATTAGGTTTTCCTCCGTCAAGCATGTTATAAGCAATGTATTATCCTTAACTTTTTCTTTTTACCTGTGTATAGTTGATTCGTAATATTTGTTTTTAAAGGACGACAGGGTTTGGCTGAAAAATATCATTAAAAAATTGGTTTAACTCGTGTTTGAATCAAGCAACAAAGATCCGAATAATTAATTAACATTTGAACAAATAGTATTTCTGATTCATTTTAAACGTAAAAATATCATGTACAATTTATAACAATATAGAAATTGATTACCATATTTGTTGTCATTATCAGCTTTTTCTAAAACAGATTGAAGGTCTTCCACTAATGTCTTTGAATCTGAGCAAATAAAAACATAATTTTATTTGGTTTTTACAATAAAGATTATACAATAAAATTATACAATCATATGAGGCTATATAAGTCTTGCGCACTCCCTTTAGGAACCATTTATCCAATATATCGATTGTCTTCAAGTTTTAAACTAAACTAGCTCCAAATCTTTGGCAAGGTACCTTCAGGTTAAATTGGTTTCAAGAGCTATACGTCGCGACGTTGTCTGCTATACTCATGCCTTAATCTTTTTTCAGTAAATGTGTATGTGTTTGATTGTCATTATAGCCGAGTTGCAAATAAAGATTTAAAAATGACAGTTGAAACCTCTTTTCTTGTTACGTGCATGTTCAAAACATCAAACTATATACAAAGATTGGAAAAATATTGATTTAGGACCATTTTAGTAATTTTCAGATAGAAAACGAGCAGGTTGTGAGAAAATCACATCAATGTTACAATTATCCAAGAAAGTTTTACACCAATTCTTATAAATGCAACCCAACCTGCTGCCACTAGTCGATTTTTGTGTAAATACACTTATAGATCCTATAGTTTTTGGATACATGCTTTATAGATATTCATTATGTTATGCAGTTTTGTGCATATGGAGCAGATATTTCGTTTCTTGTAATTTTAGTATTATTCTACTTTTTGGATTTCATGTGTAATATGTTTGCTGATTACTTATGTTCCTTAACATTGACAAATACCTCCTTTGAGATACTGTTACTGCATTTGCAAATTTACATTGTAGCATACATTTTAATATAATGGAACTGTATTCACACTTATACAATGTTTAATCCATTTTTCTGTAAGGAAACTGTAATTTACATATCAGCATTTTGAAATCCATTTTGTTATACTGGAACTATTTTAAAAGTTTGTACCAGCTTATGATTTGATTTGATCATCATTTAATTTCTATGAAATACTTGATTCTGATTGGTTAAAAAATTCTTTTGATAACTGCATCAATAAAATCTAGAGTTCGCTTGCACTAAGCAGCCGGAACTACTTTGGCTGTCTTTACATGTATATTTCCCGCTTCCAGGTTACTTTTTGAAGGAATAATTAAATACTTTTACTTTAATAAATATTTTCCTGAATTTCGAAACCTGTCCGTTACGTTCCTGACTTATTTTCTACTTTCGTTTCGTTTTGAATTACCCCCCCCCCCCCCCCGCTAAACAAATCAAATCGTCTACATAACAACAATACAGTTTTGGGAAAGAAGGAAAGAAATCGACATACTTTTATTAAATGTTCGGCTTTGAGATATCTGGTATGAACAACAGAATTCTGAAGAAATGTTTTTTTTTATGCTAAAAGCGGGGAAAACCGTTAGGGCCAAATCTGTTCTATCTTGGGAAACGAATGATAGAGAAAAACGACACTGCCTGAATGAAATCCAAAATTTCGGTAACCTAACGTTAGAAGTGTTAGGATATTTGAGTAGCTTCCCCTGACATTTACAAACTTAGATAACTTACCGGGGAAAATATACCCATTGGGATAACACAGCAGGTAAGTTTTTTGTGTTAAAGAACTATATATTATTTCAGAGAATGTTGGTAATGACACGACAATATTTGAGAACGTTTCTTCGTTTGAGCCCTTTTAAATTTCAGCAACGTTAACGCTGTTGTGAAAAATTCGTGTGCACTGTTTTTTATGCGTAAATTTAATAGAAAAGTGAAAGAAAGTTTCATTTTATTAATTTAAAATCATAATTAAATGATAAGAAATGAATGTAATATTTTTTCCTTTGATCGATGTATCAAAGAAAAATCTGGACAGAAAACTTTTTCATCAATGCGCAAAGGAAAAAATGTTACATTCATTTCTTAAAGAATATTATCATATTTTGATCAATAAACTTTTTTCAACATACCTGTGAGTTTGTCTAATTTGATGTGTAGGTAGGGAAAGAGGAGGCATAAATATGACTATTGATCATGTTCGTTTTTCTTTTAACATATTTTTGTGTATATGAGCTATTACTTTTTCTCTCTACTCTGACATGCATGTTGTGTAAAGTGCTAATTACACAATATGAACCTCATCTTCCTAATAATAGTTCCAAAAGTAAAGTACATCCAGTTCTAAAGTAGAATTTTAAGTAAAATGCAAATGATACCTTTTCTTGGCAACACTGGAAATTTTCCTGCATTACTATAGGTTGGTTCCAGAGGTTTTTTGTCTTTTGGTTTATTTGCTTCTGTATAAACATAAAAAATCAACAAACGTTTACTTCATTTTACTTTTAAAGTTCCAATTCATAAATATACTAAAAAGGGTTGTAGTGAAAAAAAGCATGGAGAAGTGTGAAATTAAACAATTTTATAATTGTTTCTTTTTTCATTTAAAGTATATGCAGGAAACTTTTTCCTATCCATTAATGTAAGCGGTGATTCTTACAGAAAGCAAACATTTAATAATTACCTTCGTATAATTCATTTATCACCATCATATCTGGTCTAAACTTTATGGATGGTTGTAAATACCCCATAGCATCTGGAAAAATTAACATCTTTAATGGATCATGAATTTTTGCAAAATCAATTTTAAAATTTGTATACACTAGCTCTAACTTCGTTAAATTTGAAATCATAAAAAGGAATTCTGCAATATAATGGCGTGTAGAATCCTGTTCATTGGCAAAAAGTTGTCACTACCACATATATATACTGGATTCCGAAACTTCATAAGAATCCTTACAAAGATACATTGCAGGTTCCAGTAAATGTTCAACCTAGCCTCTTTCTTTACTCCTTACCAAGATATTGACAGTAGTGAAGGAAAAATTTCAAGAGTGCTTTGCAACAATATATTTAAAAAGTGGTGTGAATCAGATGTGGATACTAAAAAATTCAAAAGAACTTTGGACAATTTGAAATCACAATATTTTACCAACATCAACAGCTTTAACTTACGACTTTTTAACTTTTTACACAACCATTCCCCACGATAAATTAAAGTCCAGGCTTTTTAATATCATTTACAGCGCTAGCTACTTTTTCAATAAAAACGGAACTGGTAGTTTTACTTACCTGGTCATTGGTCATTTGCAAAATTATTTTGTTATGACACGCTCTGATTTCACACACAAGTAATCTGAAGTTGACATCAAAAACATGCTTGAGTTTCTGATTGACAACATGTATGTGTTTTGGAGACCAGGTCTTTCAACAATCTTTTCGAATTCTCATGGGTACCAAATGCGCCCGTTATTAGCAGACCTATTTTTGTATTCATATAAAGCAGAATTTGTGCAAAATCTTATGCGTGAAAAGAAGAAAACACTTGCTGTAGCCTTCAACTAGACATTTAGACATATCGACGACGTATTGTCAATTAACAATGGTAACTTCCATTCCTATGTCGATACAATATATCCTGATGATCTTGAGATAAAAGATACCATAGAGTCTCACAAATCTGTTTCATACTTTGATATTTTACTTGAAAAAAACATTAATGGTAATCTAACAACCAAACTCTATGATAAACACGATGACTTTAACTTTTCTATCGTCAACTTCCCAACCTTAAGCAGCAATATACTTTCATCACCTGCATACGGAGTTTATATATCTTAGCTGATTCGAAACGCAAGAGCATGCTCAACGTATGAACAATTTCTAAAACAAGGTAAATTATTGACAAACAAGTTGATGAAACAAGAATTTCATCTGTCTCGTTTAAAGTCATCATTTCGTAAGTTTTATGATCGATACAATGACCTTGTCAGCAATCATTGAGCCAAATCCTTCGTTGAAGTAAAATGACTTTAAGGACATACCTGTAAGAGACTCAGAAATGTAAATAAAGTATGATTTACCTTTGGCGCTGTCTTGTGTGTCTTGTGTGTGAGCTCGTCCAGAGGTGGGCGATTCAGTGTTCGAAAAAATCTCGGGGGCCTTGTATATTGGAGTTTCTAAAACGAAATTGACAAAGTATACATTTTACAAAGGATTCAATATTTAAGTTTTTTTCATGAAGGATATGGAGATAATAGAAACAGTATTCAAAGTCCATAAAACAATACAAAATAGGAGCAGAGCAAACACGGACCTCCAAAACATTAGAGGTGGGATCAGGTGCCATGGAGGAATAAGCATCCCCCTGCCTACCAGTCACAGCTGCCGTGTGCTCTTTGTCATGATCGGGAAGTAAAGGAAAAATCCGTCGTCAATCCATTATATAAATAATGGAATAACAATTAGTATGAAAAAGTCATTCAGCTTTGACTGACAGGTATAAACTGTATTTGCTGACAGGGTCATAGGATTCAAAATTTTAATGGTTCACTTTAATGAATATTTTTTTTTTTTTAAAAATCAAAAGATAAGGCTATTGAAATGGAACAGTTTAAAATACTTCAAAATAATTCACCCAGGGATTTCTAATATTTTCGGGATGCAAAAATTCAATTGAAAACCTTAAGTGAATCATGTAATTTTTAAATAGTTGATCATTGCCCTTTACAGATCTTAAGATGACATTCATCTTTAATTTACTGTACGTAAGAAACGGATACTCTTTAAAAATATATCAAAATCTTAGGTCTTTTCGATCAACGAATAAAACGTTATAGTTACATGTACCTAAAAACAGAAGGTTAAATCAAATGTTGATGACATCCCTAACACCTTCATTATAAGAAAAATGTCCAATATATGGGAAGTTTCCAATCTTTTTTAATGAGTGAAATAGATGTCATATTCTTAATGGAATCATTTAAAAGTGAGTTTATCCTTTTTTCTATTTTGTCTTAAAGGAAATGGGTTAAAACTGATTTCAATGGTGTTTTGAACTATTATAATCAATAAGACAATTTATACATCCTCTTACTTATCAGAATATTACCTTCAGGAATAGGTTGAATGTACTGATGAGCAGACGTTTTACGGCTTTCGTCATTTAATTCACAATACGCATTAGTCGCTACGGACTCCACTTCATCATAGAGATGTGTAGATACACCCAATGAACTGTGAGGTCTGTTTCTCCTAGTATAATTAGAAAATTATATTTAATATAACATTTGGCATCTCCAGCTCCAAATAACAACCAGCTGATATATTCTTAGATCCAGTGAGATCTAAAGTTCTTATGTTTCAAAAAATGAGAATACTATATAGACCTATTCAAAAAACTGTTTTGGTAGCAATTTCTAATAGTTGATAAACACATCATATGTCCACTAGTTGCTAAATACATGAACGTTAATAAAATATAAATAGAAAAGACATTTACCGTTTATGCGGCTTTTTATCTGGAACAATATAAAAAAAGGAAATGAATGCTCAGATACTATCGGTATGATGACAAAATCAGTTAAATGAAAATTCATACTCAATGTAATTACAATTATAGGCAAAGATTTGTATGACTCACTTTTTGGATTCTTTTTTCTACAGAACATCAATATGCACACAGTTAGACATATAAATATGGTCACAAAAGTTCCCGCCACAGCTATGATTAAGACTGTTGTAAATGGCAGTTCTTGGTCATTCCTTTCAATGTCTGAAAAGGTCACATAAAGTCATTTTAACATTATGCTGATCAGTTCTTGTTCATTCCTTTCAATGTCTGAAAAGATCACATATGGTAATTTTAACATTATGCTGATATATGAGTGATATGTATCACTTCCAACAGGCGAATCTCTTATTTTCAGAATTTTTCGAACCACAAGATAGATGATCAGCCACAGAATTTAAAATCAACTTTGTTTCAATTGATGTTAATTAAGTCAATTTGAACTTTATCAGTAGTGATCTGCCTAAAGAATAGCTGCAGATCTGTAGCTCTCCGAAAAATATTATTGATGGACCGGAGAGCTACAGTGCCACCCATTGAAAAAACTGTATATTTATTGCGCACAAAAAAGTGCTCTGGATTCTTGATTAATTCTTCCAAATCCTTACCTCAATTGCAGAAAATGGAAGATTTCAAAAAATTCCTCTCTCCTCTATCAAGTTCTCTCGTAGTTGACATCTGAACGAAGCATATTGGACCGAATTATCTTTGAAACCAAAATGGCAGTATGAATAAGCCAAATGTTCGATAATTGCAATATCAGGGCCAGGAGGACTATTAACAACAACTATGAGGAATGTTTTGTTGTGGAAAGAGTCAAAGAATATGTTAGGAACACACGGTTAGTAATATTTTGAGATTACAGTTTTAAAAACATGGAGAAATAAATTGAGAACCGAGCGCATCTTTTTGTGCGCAATAAATATACAGTTTTTTCAATGGGTGGCTCTGTAGCTCTCCGGTCTATCAATATATATTTTTTCGGAGAGCTACAGATCTGCAGCTACCTAAAGAAAGATATTCGTAGTTTTCACGTTAACTAAGTGATTATTGGGACACCGAATGTCACTCGTGAAATTTGTTAAATCAAGGATTTATTGAGAAGTATATTTTGGATAAGCACTCATATAGAGTGACTCAAAATCGCAGAGAAAATAGGGGGTCAGTGTTCATCTTACTGATCTACGGTACAATGAAGTTGACCTTTTTGCACTTAAATTTTAACTCTTTGGTTAATTACTTAAACCTTTATCCTATTTTATCAGATGTAGCCTTGGCCAAAAATATTATCTTATTTTACGTACAATATATTGAATAATATTTATCATTGAAAAAATCTTGCAAATTAATGCGCGTAAATTATTGTGTGACCTTTTTGCACTAATAAGTAACATATTTTGGGGAATTAAAAAACTAAATAGGCAATAAAACATTTTCTTAAATCAAGCTTTTTACGACTTAAGTGCTGATCAGTCACAAGTATCGAGTACTTTAAAATAATGAAAGAAAAAGTTGGGGTCAGTGATGTTAATTTTGAAATATTGGTCAAAATATGTGATTTTCAGGCAAAAAATGGTATTAATTTTATATTGACTTATATGAGATATCTTCATTTTTTTGGCAAAGTTTGTTGAAAGAAGGTGTAAAACTTGTTCTAAAAATATAAATTAAGACCTATATTAAATATTCCTAGCAATATCATAATGGAAAATATTCTACGAGTAAAAGTATGAGAGGCTAAAAGACCAAGATATTAAATTTAATAAATGTGCAGACTTGCAGAATTATCTGCTAAATATCCTTCCATCACAAAAAATAGTCCCTCACAAATCTTGCTTTTTTTGTAGTTTTTTGAGCCGTTTTTTTTTTTTTTTTTTTTTTTTTTTTTTTTTTGTTGAATGTTAAAACATCAACATTGTTGAAGTTAAATATGTTATAAAAATTGAATTTTGATAAATAGTTTTGAAATAAGAGGTTCTGTGTGAACTTTTCCAAAAAGCTGACGAGTGACCTACCTTAACTTAAATATCATTGTATATTTTACTACATGTACAGTGTACATTGTGGTTCTAATTTTTCTTCAATTATACTATTTATCACATGACTTTTTAAAGTAGATGGCCCTTAAATTCAGGTCATGAGTGAATCATACACTTGATGCGTTATACCAGTAAATTTCATTCATAATTCTTTGAAATGCATGCAGTTTGCTTGTTTTAATTTGTGTATGATTTGTAAAAAAGTAAGACAATGAAAATAAAAGTTTATAAAAGGAACATTTAATGGAATAGAATTCCTCATAAAGATTACTCAAGTCAATGTCATTCAGTGTCATACAAATTATAGAATAAAGATAGACTTCAGATTAGTTATCCAAATAAAACTAAAAAGTAAAAAAAAAACAGATCAGAAAAAAAATATTTAGACAGAGTTAAGAATTTACACGTTAGCATAGTAGTTACTTTAAAATTGATCTGAGAAAAGATGATTTTATAACTGGTTGTTAAATAATATTCATCAACAAGCAAGAGTTTATTAAGTTGAATCTTCTTGATCGTCAATTAATGAAAAATTAATTGTAGTTTTTCATTCCTTTTATCCATAATTACCTTCAAAGGGTGTAGTTTTTGGTGTCGGTTCGTAAGCTGAGCAAAAGAATCATTTTTTTCTCATGAATGCTTATTCATTCTAAATTTCATTTTTAAACTTTAAAAAATAGTATGAATATTTTCGATCACCGTAAATAACTTTAATTAACATCACTTTTAATAAGAATGAAGTGTACCTGTAAACGTCATCGGTACGGTGAAATTTATTACGAGCTGATCGTGCAGGTTTCTTTGAGAATCGTATGATCGTAGAATGAGTTGGTAGAATCCATAGTCTTTGGACTCGTCAGGACTCTGGATGCTCAGTACCACAGTATAATTACACCATAATTTACAATTTTTGGGACTAATGCTTTTTGCACCTGTATATTTCTCTTTGTCTGTGTTCCAGTCTGTAATTCTCTGGATTAAAATAAAACATTTATAAATAAGATGCGAATTTTACACTGAGAGGTTACTTATCATACGATGAATCTGCCCCATTCGGTCAACTGAATGGACATTGAGAGGTCACTTGGTGACAAAGCTCTACCCTGTCACCTTTAAGTAGTTTTTCAGTGACCATTCAGTTAACTGAGAGTAAGGCAGTCTCGCGGTGTCATATACATGTACTACATTGTGATAACAGTATTCGAGATACCGAATATCAAGTATGTTGTACTTTAAAGTTGTAAAATAAATTTTTGTTAATGTTATATTTTTCTTGTGAACCTTTACTTTGCATGCATAAAACATTTCCATACAGGTACAATGCTTACTATGCAGCATATATCAGCATGTATTTACTTACCATTGCAGTATTGTTTTTGAATATTGCCCATTGATCTTTTACATCATATTGGGACTGAACAGTGGCTGACACCTCACATGAAAGAGCGGAACACTTGACCATAGGTGATCTAATGCTGGTGATTGAATTCGTACCTGCTGTAACTTCTACAAGAACAAGTAAATACAATATTTAAGTTTGTTTACAACTCTAAGCATATTTCTTTTTCGTAATTGAGGCCCTCATCAGAATTGCAATTTGTACATATACATATAGATGTATGTAATGTGTATTAATGTCTCACTTGAAGAAGCAAATCGGCTTACGAAACCAGTAGTGGCACTAGTATTAACACTGTTAGTAAAATGTACGAGTATATGTTTCTCGATTGTGAAGATTATATGTGAAGACTCATTCATGTATTCTAACATCAAGACATACAAGTATATCAAACATGTATTTTCTATCTAAGGTGTTGAATACAGAATTAGCTATCGGGTTACGAATGGTCTTTAATATATCTGTGTGCATTCGATTTTAAGTCTCGGATATTTCCATAGTTGGTTAATTTAAAATGTGCAATATATGACTCTCAGCTTTATCAGTCCCGCGCATCATTCTGTTGTTTATCTGCAGAAGATATTTTGCTTAAACATGTATCCGTCCATCGGATGTAAAGTACTCATCCCTTGTCATCAAAATGTATGTAAATAAAGCAGATATATTCTCAGATGGTTTGTGACTTGAGTTTTTAGCTCCTTGTGCATTAAGGAGTTTTTGTGAAGCCTTTTACAAAAAATCGTCTGTGGATTTTTTTTCAGTTAGACTGATCGGGACCTTTCGAAAGAAAAAAAAAACAAACCTCCATTACACCTTATCCTACTTTTGATTTTTTTTTATAAACCGTGTTTCCTCTGTTCCCAATGTGTATTGTTTCAATGGAATTTTGAGCTCGAATACTGTTTCTTATACTGGCGTATTCATATTTCACCTTAAAGGTTTTTTTTCATATCAAAAAGCATATAAATGAAATATATGGAGATAACGATGAGTATTCATGCTCAAAGTCCATAAAACAACACAAAACATGAGCAGAGAAAAAACCCGGACTTCCAAAAACATCAGAGGTGGGATCACCCTCCGTGTGCTCCTTGTCATGATCGGGGAATAACAGAAAAATCCGTCGTCAATGTTTAAATAATGGACGAACAATTGGTGTGAAAAACGTCAATCAGTATTTGACTCAATGATAAACTGCATTTGCTGACAAGGTCATTGAATCGACAATAGAGCTTACGAAATGCATGATGACTTTATACGAGACTGCTGATATTCTTGTTTCATCAATTTGTTTGTCAATAAATATCCTGTCTTTAGAAATTTTAAATACGACTAACGTACTATGTTCTTGCGTATTGAACCAACTGAGAGATATAACCTCTGTATGCTGGTAATGAAGGTACATTGCTGCACAAGTAAGGGAAGTAGACGATTGAAAAGTTCAAGTCATTAGGTTTATCATACAGCTTGGTTGGTAGATTACCATTAACGTCTTTCTCAAGTAAAATACCCAAATATGAAATAGCTGTGTCAGACTCCGTAGTATATTTTGTTCCAAGCTCACCGTGATATATCGTATCGACATAAGAATGGAAATAACCAGTGTTCATTGACAATACGTCGTCTAAATATATAAATGTCGAGTTGAAAATATTATAGTTTCATTGGACACGGTAATAGCTTTAGCTAGATAATTTGATTACATTTTCCTTTAAAATACAGAAAATCCCACCTTTGAAGTCTTAATTAACACTATTTAGGGAAAGACATGCATATATACTTTGTAATATTTCCGTATAGTAAAATCAGTTATCCATTCAAAAGAAGTAACTCTTTATGAGTCATCGTTTTGTCCTTTACTTAGAAATTTAACTCCCAAAGTTGTCTTTTACTGAACGACCCTATTGACTTAAAGGTCAATTTACTCACCCGACCGTGCACCAACAGATATGATGACTACTGCAACTTGAAGTATGATCTGCAAAGACAGAGAAAGTAGGTCATTAGTAAGATAGTTTGACATACTTTTCTCATCTTTCTGACTCACAGACGAGAGGAAGTCGTTGAACTCGGAGGACACTGCATTGAGGATTGAGTGCAGCAAGTAATGGAGTGTGAGTAGATTGGTATCCTTTGTTGTGTTTTATATAAGAACTGCTAACTTATCTGTACATAAAGTGTGTGTGAAGTCATACTTTTGAAATTACGTTTTATAAGGGGTGATGTTCTGAATTATGTCGTGTCCTGCTTATGCAACAGTTCAAACGATCTTTTTAACAACTATCCTTTCTCAGATTTGGATCCAAAATATGTTTAAAATTCTGACACCATGAGAAAAATGATACGTCAAAAAATATTTTTTTTTAAATCAAATGACCATTAATGATAATGACAACAAGGATTGGTGTGATGATGACGATGACAAAACATTGACAACTTCCTTTAACAATGACAATACACGACACTCACGGGGTATCGTCTATTTATTAATTTCGGAATGACAGTTTATAATAACTAATAATATAGTTATAATTGTCAGAATGACAGTTTATTCACGGGTACAATCATGTATTTTTATAATAATTATTATGTAATACTTTATCACGACAATCTTTTTCAGTTTTGAAAATTATTATCTTGCTTAATTGATAAATTTGATTTGAAGTTCTGCAGTGTGGTCAATTCCTTTTAAATACATGTTACGTAGAAAATCTTGAAAAATTAAGATTTAGTGAATGTCATATTCATAAATATCTTTTATCTTTGCGATGAGACATTTTCTCCCATAGATTAGGAAATATGGGAAATATCCCTTATATCATGATAATGATGCTGTATTTCACTTACCAGAATCTATGGGATTTATCCCATGTTTCAAAATGTATGAGATAAAATGCCCCATCGTCAATATTCATGGGATTTATCCGATTTGAACACATTTTAAGGATTAAAAAATCCATTGAGAGAAATTATTCCATCTGACACGTTTTCTCTTATTGGAGAAAGGTGGGGTAGTTGAAAGGACTAAAAATCTCAGAATTCTCTCGTGGGAGTTTGGGGGGCATTTCTAAAGGACTTCATATCTTTAAAAATAGACATCATTGTAAGTTCATCGTGACACCATGTACTGCTAAGAAATCCCACCAATTTTTTTAAACATTATATTTAGAATTTGATGTAAAAAGTCTTGATAATGCTGCTCAAGGAGGTAAATGTCGTTCATTTTTTTTTTACAACTGTTTCATCACTGTTCGTATAATTGTTTAATATATGCATTTAGATATTTTTTTTCTGTTTCATGAAAGTGTCTATCAGAAAAGGTAAAAAATTCTTCAAGGACAACAAAAATCTTTCTTCATGCATGTATGATATTTATGCATGCAATTACTGGTTTATGATGAAGTTCATGCACCTGTGTAGCTTTTCTCTTTTTAAATTAAATTAGATATCTCACCTTGAGCAACATCGTTTAAAATCCCTTTACCTACACGTTACAAAGACACACACATATAAAATGACTTTAATTTTATTCTTATTTTCCTTTATAAACCATAAACTCTACCCATCTATGCACAGGAAATCACGTGGTTCCTATTCAAAAGTGTACATTTCCATTATAAATAAGATAAGCAGCTTCAGTCATTGTAAAGTTTCTCTATTCTTTATATAATTATAACAGTGAAAGATGAATTGTTAAGTAGAGGTACTCATCTTTTGTTGTGTGTACTTGAGACCCTGTTCACGTTTGGTGGTAGCCTGTGACAATCGAGTCTTCCTTGTAAACAAACCAGGTATGTCCCTGATGGTCAACTGGCGACATCTCTGTGTCGTTTGCAGCTGTATCCGCTTCCGAAAAAAGCGATTATTTATTTTTCTTGCTGAATTGACGACGTCAATTAACGTTATAGGAGTAACCGCTTGTTTTTCTCTTCAAATTTGCAAAACATGTTTTATTTTTTAAATTTATCCTTTTGGAGGATACAATATATTAGAAGGTACTAGCATCATGCACTAGGAAAAAAATTGCGTAGATCTCTCCTGTGGCACATTTTTGAGTCTCAATCCTATTTAAATACAATACAATATAGAGACAGAATCTTATTTTGATTACCGATATATAAATATAAATTTAATGTTATTTTAGAAAAATTTCAGATTTTCAACATAGTATGTATCCACAGTTTTTCTTCCTTCCCCTAATTTGGTAATTTTGGTATTTTACTGTCGGAAGTCTGGCGTTTCATTGTAAAGCATCTTCTACACTCTAGATAGGTCTACAGTATCAAAGACCAAGAGAAGTCCATCATCAATTGCAACAATTGCTTATTTAATAAATCTTTTAAAACATTTTTATCAGTTTTAAAGGTTAGAATTATGTTTCTGTTTGATGAAAGATAAGAATAATCTTAATTTATGACTTCTATTTTCCCAGCTGATATGAAAAGGACAAAAGAGACAAATGAATATTGAAGGTGTCTTTTATTGATCTAAATGAAGGCTTTTGTCAATAAACATGTGCAAAATTGTACTTGATATAAACATCAAAGGTTTCCAACAAAAATGGACAATTGTTCTTTATACATATAAAATACTTCTTACATACATGTACATGTATAATAATAACAGAACACAGACTCGATATTAACCACTGTTTGCTGAAAATTATTGTAAAACATGTATATAGTTTTCTTCATACAAATCAAAATCAAGAATTTAACATGTAAACACAGAGAGTATACAATATATTTTGAAAAGTTGAGAAGTTTAGAGAAAATAGTGTAACAAGTTCAAAAACTATTTTTTTTTCGAGTTAAGGTTTCAACTGCAATGTTGTAAGGGATGCCTGCCTTCACCTGGAAACACCACCATCATTTGCCTGTGGATAGCTGCAAATTGTGCCCTTAACTTGGCACTTAGGGCCGTTGAGCAGTAAGGGATCTTTTTCGTGCCATCACCTATACTGACACATGGGACCTCGGTTTTTCTGGTCTCATCCGAAAGACCGGTCTTCACCTCCCACAATGGAATTCAACCCGCGCCATAACAATCTACTTCTTATTCCGCGACTCTAGACCAAATGCTCTTACCATAGCGCCATGCGACAGACTCTATTATTCGGTCAAATGCTGATTGACGTTTTTCATACTTACTGTTAGGCCATTTTTTACACATGGAATTGTCGACGAATTTTTCCGTAATTTTCTAAATCATGTACATGTAAAGGAGCTTAAGGCGAATGTGACCCGGTCAGCGGGGGATGCTCACTCCTCCATGGGATTTAATCCCATTTCTGATGTTTAAGAGGTCCGTGTTTTCTCTGCTCCTGCTCTGTGTTGTTTAATACAGTTTGAGTTTGAATACTGTTTGTCACCCATATGTTTTATCCCGTGCCTTGAACGTTAATGCGTTGTACTTACATTAAACAGACATTCAATAATCAGCTGTAGATTTCAAAGGGTGATGCTAGCGAGATCGAAAGGTCGTGTGTTAGAATCTGGCTGCAACCGACTTAAATCGATAAAAATAAAATATGAATTGTTTCCGGCACTGTGATTGATGGCTTGAATGATTGATTGTTGTTTAAGTTTCTCTCGAGAATATTTCCCTCATATGGAGACGGCACTAGCTGCCGATGGAGAACTACAAATTTTGACCTATACGTGGCCCTCAGGGCCATTGAGCAGTGAGGGATCTATTTCGTGCCAGCACCTACTGCAACACGGGACCTTTGTTTATATGGTCTCATCCGAAGGACCGGTCTCCACGCCCCTCCGTGAGATTCAAATCCGCGACGTAAGGATCAATTCCTTAGTTCGCCACTCTAGAACAGATGCTCTAACTACTGTGCCACGCGCGGGCGATTCGGCACTTTGATGAGTTGCGGGTCATTCGGATGAGACATTAATTAAAAAACCGAGTCAAGACACATGCAGCCGTTAGCACAATAAAGCACCCTTACGCTCAATGGTCCTGAGTGCCGATTAAAGATCTAAATTTCAAGCCCTTCTCCAGTATATAATGAAGTCTGCCGGTCCATTCAATGAAAAATTCTTGAACAACATACAATCGACCTATCAATCCAAAGGGTGATTTGGCAAATATTATGTTAAATGGATTGGTTGAGGGATTCTTTTAAAGTCTTATAATAGCTCCCCGCCAGCAAGAAAATGAAAATTCCGAAACCGTAAGTTGTTGCACATCTACAGAATTCCTTCTATCATATTTTAACAGTTGTTTGGTTATTCTGTAAAATATAGGGGAAAAGGACAGAGGAAGATGTATCTGCAAAGAAAGCATTTCTTATTCTTCAGATGGCCTCTCCAATGATATTAACAATTATGAAACGTTAATGCACATTCGCAAGACATCTACACAATCATATCATATTCTTTAAAATCAGTGGTCTACCCAGCTAAAATTTTAAGAGGATTCGAGGAAGTAAATATTTGACGGATGAACCAATGGAAACATTTGATTACAATCAGTGAATAGTACATCATACTGTATGCGCTGCTTACTGGAGGCCTCTTGGTGCGTTTGGTTGTAAGTGATCTAAAGGAAATCAATGATAAAAAGATTAACTCTTAATTCTATTTTATAGAAATGTTATATACAGTAAAACTTCTCTAAACCGGCCGGCTGCGGATTGAATGAAATGGCCGGTTTAGAGGGGTGGCCGGTTTACCAAATTCAGCATGTTGTATAGGTATAACAATTATTGAACAATGTAAAATTTCTTGTTTGCTGCTTGATCAACTCAATAAGATGTTTAAGCAATTTGTTAATATTTCAGTAATTAGATATTAAAGCCTTCTAATATACGAAAATATAAATAATCTTATATAATGGCACTTAAAAACCAGTGTTGTCTGTGCAGTCTTGGGTCGCTTCATCACAAGCAAATCTTCAGGTTGTAGAATGATTTCTCCGGCTTCATGGATTCCTCTGTTGTCAGGTTGTGGATCTTTCTTAATTCCTGTAGTGTATTTTTCTAATTCATTGGAGGCTCTCATGCTGGTCTAACTGCGGTGACTGTTTCTTCTTCATCTTCACTGTCAAGAGTTTCTTGGCGTTGGTTAGGGCCGAGAAGATCCTTCTCCCAGTCATCAGAATCATCTTCTGTCGGAACACTACCATCAAAGTTGCTGTCAAAGTCACTTGCGAGGCGAGTTGAGTTGAATCAGCGGGATGTCATCATTTTCATCATATTTATTGATGTATGGTTCTTCTTAGTCTGGGCTAGGAAATCCTGCACGTCTAAAACACTTCTAAAAGGTGGAATCTTTAGTGTCTTTCCAGGCTCTTGATATCCAGTAGATGGCATTAAGAATGGAAATTTCCTTGCCGAGTTCTGTTGCTGATTGGGTCAGGTCAATTTTGGTGATGAGGGACTTGATCATCAGCTTTCTGTTTCGAGCTTTGAAGGCATAAATCACACCTTAATCCAAAGTGCAGAAGCACAGAAGTTGTGTTTGTGGGGAGGAATATCAATTTCACATTGCTGAGTCTCAGTTCATGCGAATGGGAGGAAACATTGTCCAGGAACATCAGAATGTGTCTTTTCTGTTTTTGTCATGTTGACGGTAAGGATCCAGTTGTTAAAGAATTCTGAAGTCATCCAATCCTTCTTGTTAGCGGTGTAGTCAACTGGCAGCGTAGTCTTCTTGATGTTTTTGAAGCATCTTGGCTGGTTTGATTTCCCGATCACTAGGGGCTTTAGTGTTTCACAAGTAGCACTGCAAGCAAACATAACTGTGAGTTCTTTAGCACTACTGTCGCCTTTACATATGATGTCTTTATTGTTGAGAGTTTTGTCATGTAGAGGACGATAGAAACAAGTCTATCTGATCACAAAGATGTCCTCTGGGTTGTAGTGAGCTGTGATATCAAGACGTCTTTGTCTGTAAACTTCGACTGTCAATGTGTCAACATTTTCACTTTCTCCGCTATCTTGAATTCGATCTGTCACAGAATATCTGTTCTTCCATCTGTCGAGCTAACCATTTGAAACCTTGAACCCCGGGATCTGTAATTCCGCCGCATACTTGAGAGCCTTCTCTTGGATATTAGGTCCGGAAATCGGAATGCCTTTAGCACGGGTTGTAGAAAACTACTTGAACACATCATTGATGTCAAAGAACTTACACGTTGTGTTGAATCTGGATTTCTTGGGACTTGCGTTCTTTTCAAATTGCTCAAGGTAGAACTCTTTCTTTCGTAAGATGTCACCCACAGTTGGCTTTACACGAAAAGATTAAAACTGTAAATATTAAGCGAACATTTTTTTTTCATCATAATGAATACTTTGTGTACATGTACTTTTTTACTGTATGAAATACATATAGTACTATATGGAGATAATATTCAAACTCAAAAGTCTATTGAACAATAAAGATCAGGAGCAGAACAAACACGGACCTCTAAAACTCAGGGGTGGGATCAGGTGCCATGTTGAGGGAGCATACACTGCCGACCGGTCACACCCGGCCGCCGTGTGTCATGATCGGGAAATAAGGGTGAAATCTATGGACAATTCAGTGTTTACAAGTATGTGTTTTACTGGATATCAACCCCTCTGTGAAACAGGAGTTACGGAAAATAAAAGTGTTAGTGACCTACCATATAATGCTGACATTACATGTACAAGTACAGAAGATAAGATGTTGAAATCGAGGTTAATATACTACAATATGTATTATATTATCTGCTGATTCGTTGTTTAGATATGTAATACTATAATAATGCTGTAATTTAATTGAGCCATGATGTAAGGGAATAATATTGCTTTGTTCATGTGTATGGTGTTAATTTCGTATGGATTTCGTATCTTTTAAATATAGTAAAATCCTGTGGTATTTCTTGCTACATATAATTAAAAATTAATTCAATATTTTGTAACATTGTTGTCTGGCTAGCCCCTGAACTGAGTCGGCGAATTTAATTAAAATCAGTGACAATGCAAGCTAAAATTTATTTCGTAATAATATCATAACGGCAATGTTTGATTTTTTCATGAATTAATACCAGCACCAGTATGCGAGCCTAATAGATAGACTTTTTTTTCTTTTTCGTTCATTAACTACTGTACCGCCAGTACGTTATGTTTTATAGGATAATAACCTGATCTAGTCGTGAAAACTGAATGAAACACTTACACAAACTATTATATGTTACATCATAGATTGCAATACGCTGTTACTCGGCCGGGCGCTGACCTGTATAGAAACACTACCATGTATGTATACATGTACAAAGCTGAAGGAGAAAAAGTCAGAATATTTGAAGATAAATATCAATGCAACGTCTTTACGATATTTTATTTCCCTGTCCATCAAAATAATTTTCACAGACTTAAATAAATAATTATGATGTTATTTCTATTATATTATTGTGTCGTTTGAATTTAAAAATTAAGTGAATGAATAATGTTTTTTAAGTTTCAAACGAGAGTGAAAGAAGAATACTAAACATGTGTCTTTTTTTTCTCTCGTACACTTATTTGTTCCTACATCAGGCATATGGGGACGATTGCTGAAAAATGAAATCGATAATACAAGGATTTTTATGTCCATGTACATAAATCATATAATCTTGGTTATCGATATTAATCGATGACATCGATGCTTGTCCTGTAATCGATTACTTTAAAGAATACATGTATTGTATAATAAAATAAATTATTATTTATAATATTAAAATTTTATTTTAAGTTGAGTGTTACTCATTGTAGGGAGAAAGTTTTGGAATATATGAGTAATTGAATAAGTTGTATCGGGGTCGTAGATAGAAAGAAAGAAAGAAGTGACTCATATTGAATTTAATTTCCTAATAAGGACAATGCAGCAAAACTCAGAGGGCATGGCGTTTATCTATATTTTTTATTCACTCTGGCCAGAACTTTGATTTACTGATTTGTACATGTAAATGAACAAGTCATAGAGCAAATCAATTTACAGTAATTAAATTGAGGTTGCGTATAAGATTGTTCACAAAGCCATTCATTTACTTTGATCAATGAAGATTATAGGTTTCAGAGCTGAAATTTTGCTGAAAGTTCCGTTAAGTTAGCTTAGGTAAGTTAGGTTAATTTCTTTCTGTTTGTTATGTTTGCTTTCTTTTATCTAGTATATTACAAAAATACACGTGAACATGTAAGGATGTATAGATGCAGAATATTAGGGACAAAAATTCTAATCTACATTTTAAAATGATTTATTACTATAGTACTAGTAATTGAAAGTAATTTTGTTTGAGACTTAAAATCCTCATCATGGAGATAACTTGCATTAATACGATTTGCACTAGTACTCCATTTGTATCCCAGAAAAAAACAATCAGTGAGAAAGTTATTGCAGTTCTAAAAATCAAATTTTTCCCTTTCTTATGATTGAACGTATATATGAAATAAAATGAATGGGAAATTATTTAACATTCTTGAAAATCACATTTTAGAAATGGAGTAAAGTGGAATAAAATCAGGTGCTTGATTTTTTTAACCTTTCTTTTCATAAATGAAAACACCATTCTTTAATAATGCATGAGAAAAAAATTAAAAACGTCTTGTGAAGAAAAAAAACATATGAAATACATGTAAAAAGTCCCAAGGGAAAATATACATGTTCTTTCATTTCTCTTGAAAATCAGTTGTAAAAAAAATAAATAACAGCTTTATTTTTTCATTTAAGAAATCAATCATATCTCATTATGCATATGATGATATTCTGACATTACATTGGCTGAATTTAAGTCGGGTTCGGAAACCTGGCCCAGCAGGTGTTTTAGAACATGTCTGCGCCCATGAGTGTTGCTAACGCCGCTGCGAACGGCGATTTAACGGTAAATACTCTTATTTTTGAAAATTAAGACATTAATTTTTGCTTCATAACAAAATTTCTGAAATGTGTATCAACTTGAAGCACAATAAATGTTATATGCCTTCGCATTTCTTTCCTGTTAGAAAATTTACCTCCGAATTTCCTCTTTTTAAAATAATAAACGAAACAATGTTGTAAACTTTTAAAATTGTCCATATAGTATTTCTTCTAAACATAAAATGTACTTTACATTGAAATATATTGTTTCTTTTTAAAATGTTTCAATTTTGGATGCTGACGGATTTAAATTAAAATCAATTAAGTCGGTTAGAAAATAATGTCTTTGTGTTTTGCAGCTCTTGAAACAAACACTGAGACAGGGTGCAAATGTGAACGAGAGATCTAAAGATGGGATGTCTCCACTTGCGTTGGCAGCTTTCTGGGGATATGCAGATGTGGTTGAATGCCTGTTAAATCATGGGTATATCTTCTAAAAACTTGTAAAATATATACTGAATCTTAACTTATTACAATGTGTATCACCAGCTTCCTAAGGCTTGAATGTGTGACTGGAAATTTGCCTGTCCCAAATGAAATGGTATCCCTAATATCTATACAGAGCATGGTATACATAGCAACCTGACTTGTTATACCAAGAATGACTGGCTTATACACATTTCATATAGTTTGAATAATGCAAGAATTGCCAAAATTTTCAAATGTGGGAGCATTTAAATTCGGCAACTCAACAAATACAATCATTTCCAATATCATTATATCCCCCACTTGAAAAGTGGGAGGGTTTATAGTGATCAGGATGTCCATCTGTCTATCGAACTATTACACTTTTGTGTACCTTGATCTCTCTTGTACGCAACTCCTCTTTTACCGCAGAATGATTTTAATGAGGCTTTCATTGAATCTTTGTTATACCAGGGTATACAATTAATGTAAATTTGATTCTATGTCTTATACATTGTGTTCTCAGATATTATAATGCATTAATTTCATCTTCTTTTTTTACAATTGTCAAAGACTGATTTTGAATTATCATTTAATAGAGCGGATGTAAACATCTGCAACAAAGGAACACAGTGGACTGCTTTGCACTGTGCTGCCTTTCAAGGTCATGGGAAAGTCATCATGAAACTAATGGAACATAATCCAAATACGGAGCTGAAAGACAACCAGGGCAGGTAAATATTGTAAGGGGGGAAAAGTGTCAACAGTGAAGGGATTATGTTTGCTGTGATATGACCAATATATGAGAGCATGTTCTCTGTACATATACATGTACACATAAGAATTACACACTTTTATAATAGACAGATGTTCTTCTTATGTATGACATTTTTATTACAGAACTGCTGTTGATTTTGCCTCGGCCATGGATGCTATTTGGCCATTCTTTGCAGGTATGGATTTTGTAAAAAATAATCTGGAGATATTAATTAAGTTTAAACAAACAACATGTACAACTCTTTAATGTCTTTTATAAATTAATTAATACAAAGAATGTCCTAGTAGTTGAACTATAATCTCTTGATTTTCTTGTGATTTTATTTTTTAGCTGCTGGCTGCAAGAGAACACCAAAGTCTGAGTTAATTAGAATGGATATTGTCAAAAGGGTTAGCTTTTCTTATCTTACATCCACAGTCAAACCTTGTTTTCTCATGCAGACTCGATGGCATTTTTGTAAAACGTTAAAATATTTGAGGATCCCAGAAATTGAGGATAAAATTATTTTGAAAATATTTTGACAGATAAGTAATTTGAATTTTCAAATCACTTCAAAAATTTTATTGTACTCGAGATATCAGTGTTAAAATTGCTATACTATTGTTCAACGGTGTATTGAATAATACAAATAATCAGCAGTTTATAATGGTATAAGTACTGTTGCATGTGCTGTATACGCCTGTATACACATATAAAAAATCATGAAGTTCAAATTAAATGAATTGTTTTTAGAAATAACCCAAGAACACTTATTTTCAGGTGACACATGTGGATCCAACACTCCCTAAGTCTGAGATTGCTCACTTCTCCCGCCCGGGGTCAGCGTATGTGATAAAATCCCAGCCCTTACATGGGAACAATCCCACAGACACCAATATGGCTGTGGCTTCTATGAATGGAGACGTTCTAGCGGGCCTCCCAGAGGAGCCAGAGGTTCCAAGTTCAAGGACACCACAAATTAATCTAGCAGTGTTCAACAACATGTAATTCTGTATCTCATTATGCTGTGTACACAATTTGTTATTAAGAATTCAGTTTTAAACAGCAATATGAAAAAGAGAATCGTATACATCTACATGTAATTAATAATTAACATTAATGGCTGTGAAAGGTGGAAAATGCTATTGAAATTTTTATATGTAGAAAGATCTCTATGTTTTATTGTGTTTTATATCATATTAGAGTAGACTGTTGGAGAAGGCAGGTTGATAAGGTTAAGGGCCTGTTGGTGTGTAATTTGGTGGCAGAGTATTTTTTAGCTTCTTTTGTATTTAGGTATACATGTACACAGCAAAACTTTGATAACTCTGTCAAATGCATAAACTCTGGAATCTTGAACAGAGATATCTCAAATACATGTACTACAGATATGTCAAAAATATTTGAAAGTCAACAACACATTTTCTTTTAGACCCTTGAATATCCCAACAACAAAAATTAGGTCAAACTCCAACCAACTTTGAGATATTGAGATCAAATGTACTTGTCAATAAACAATAGATAAATGTAATTTTTGTTTGCTAAGTTAGGTAGAACCAGTAACTCATACTCATTGCAAAATTTATGTCTTGAAATGGATATGGTGAATATTGATTGAATTTGAATTTATGCAATGAAGCAATAATATATGTATTATTATATGTAGTTGACTTACGTACACTATTCTGCTTAGAGTAGGCTAGTGTTAATGTACAAATTTTATTTATGATTTTTTGTTACCTGTATGTTTAACTTGCTTGATTATTACAGCAGAAATACAATGTACAGAATCAAAGATTGATAAAAATGAAAAATGTGAATAATTTGTAGTTCTACATATTTTTTTTTGTTTTAAAAACAGAGACATATTTGATATATGTATGTGTATATACTTACAATTTTTACTTCGTCTGCTTTTGTAAAACAAGTTTATATGCACTTTGTATAGCTATTATCTTGACATAGTCTTTCCATTTAGTTCTTAAAAAGATATAATGTTATACCAATTTATGATTTTCACAGAAGCAACTTGTAGGGGGTGGGGACCAGAGCCATGTTTTTAACTGTGTTCAGAAGATAAATTGAAATAAAACAAAGTATTTGTCCCTTATAAAATCAAAGTATAGTATATTGTTCACCCTAGGTTTGTATATTTACATTCAACATGTTCAATTTACATCACTGTCTTGGATGTGTTGGGGTTTGTAGTCATTATCATTGAAATGTGGCACTACATGACTGTGTTTATATTCGTATTATCATTTCTTTCATATAAATGTATATGACTTCAAAATGCAATTTGTACATTGCCTTTGTGGCAGTTTGTTATTTATTTGAATTTATTTGCTTTCATAAAAATAAAATTTAAAAAAAAACGTTTAATGAATGTATTTTTAAAACCAATTTAATAAGCTTTTGTTTGAGATCTCAGGAAGAGGATAATTTTTAAATATTTTTTCGGAAAAAATATGTTTGAACGATTGACTTTCATTACTACAATTTTGTCACAAATCCACAGAGTTCGCAATTATTTTAGAGTTATCCCGCTTTGATCAGAAAATAAACAAGGTAACCCCTAACTTGATATGCTAAGTACCAGTGTTATCAGGAGAAGTCCGAAACTCATTCATAACGTTTATATCGCGCTTGTCCCAGGGTTTACGACCCATTTATTTTCATCGATGAGCAATTCACCCAGACCAAAAGTTTATGTCACTCGCAGAGTTCCGCAAGATGGGTTGGAGATCCTGCGACCACATTGTGACATCACCCAGTGGGACAGTGAGAAACCCGTCCCCAGAGCTGAACTCATTCGACAAGTAGCCGGAAAGGATGCCTTGTTTTGTTTGCTGACCGATAAGATTAACGCTGAAGTTTTGGATTCCGCAGGTATGTCTTACCGCTGTGTTTGTCAGTATTATAGGCCTACACAGTATATACCTGTTTACAATTGAAATGGGCGGATCTAAGATTGCGATATAATATGAGTGTACACCTCTATACTACACAAGACTAAGTCTAAGTCTAATTTATTCTATTGATTGATAAAATTTTGATTGGTATAAAGGGATATACCTTTTGCATTAATAATTAAACGATATAATAATAGTGATATGGGGATATTTTATCAACCAGGGACAATATACTAAGTTACAGAGTTAGTATACACATATAGTTCCCTGTTATTAACGAATAGAATTTTTTTTTTCAAAGTCAAGTGTATGCGTATGATCCAAAATAATACATGTAAATGAAAAGCTAAAAAATATCGGTAGAATTTTGCAAACTGATAATTTTACATATTGATTTAACATTTTCAAAATAAGCAATATTATATTTTATTGTGAATTTAACAGAGAAGGATCAGGTTGAGTTGACAACATATACAACTCAACCTGTGGGTATTGTCTTTTAAACTTATTATAATCCTCCTCCACATGACATTTTAACCCTTTCTCTTCATTGATAAAACTATCCCTATACTAAAGTAATACAATCCTTGTTTATGTCTAAGTCGTCCTTGATATACGCAAGGCTTCTAATTTAACAAAACTAGAAACTTGTATGACCCCAACGACCAAAGATTACAACCAATAAAAATGAGTAGAGTACTGGAAAAATTTAAGGAATCACTGTCTAGTTAGTAGAGTATTCCAGGGCATCAACGATAGTGGGAAACATTGGATAAACTTTTCCAAATATCGTTGATCAATGATGTCCCTGACATACTCTACTAACTAGAAAGCGATTCCTTATATTTATATTACAATGTGAAATAAAATTATAAATTTATATTTTAAAAATGTAGACTACTAGTAAATTAAAAACATGGATGTCAATTTCATTAGCCCCCACCCATATATTACGCCTTCTTAGGTCCTGACCTATCGCTTTGCGAAATAGTTACATTCTGGTAGAATGATAAAAGAACTATATGCGGTATATTGCATATATTTGCCCCCACAAAAGACAAATTTTGAAAACTTCCTGAAATGTGCTGAATTCAATAAATTATATTGAGAAATATAAATTGACAGAAAATATTATAGTGTCAAAGCAGTGTATTCTCAATTTTTGTTTTTATGACGTCACAAACTAGTCCGATTTTATATCCTTTTTCAGATAGAGGACAAAATGGACAAAATTTCTACAATTTTAGCTTTAAAATTTATAGAGCGCAAGTTTGTTCAGGAACAATATTGACATATTTCAGTGATGTTATCATTCTACATATTATATTAAAATATTTTATCCAAAGGAACACACATGCAGCTCGGTGACTTTTACTCAAAATATGACGAAATTTGTACATTACCCCTCTTTCTGTAATTGTTCATAAAAAACTGAAATTTACGTCATGTTTGTGACGTCATTACGCACATATGGCGTCATTACTTATGAAAATATTCAGTGCTTTGAAGTCAGCATGTACTCCCCTGTTTAAGAACTTAATTAAATATATCTCCATCAAAGTTTGATTTTGGGGGCAAATATTGGTTATTACCGAATAAAGTTCTTTTTTTTCAATTTCCAATTTTTTTCTCTGTGATAACTCATTGAAAAGTTAGCGGAGTTGATTTCTTGATATTACTACTGGAATGTAAATTAGGCAGGTCGATACTAAGTTAAGAGCTAAGGAGGCCTTAAATATGCATGCAAATCTCGTGCGCATCTGTTTCTTTGTCTGACGCTAAGGAGACCAAATATGCATGTGAAAGTGTAACTTTCAAATAGTTACACGCATCAAAAAGCATAGAAATGGAAATAATTATATCCTAGACGTATGCGACCTAATACGAGTGCATTACTTCAATTTACTTGCATTTTGCAAGTGACTGCATGTCTGCAATCAATTGATATTTATTTCAGGAACACATACATTGTATTTAATTAATGAATCCAGCGTGGATGAAGTAGCAATGCAGTTCATTTTATATTATGCTCACAATCAAATTCATAATGTGTTTTATTTCATTATGACATTTAGGACCCCAGCTAAAATGTATTGGTACAATGTCAGTTGGATACGATCACATTGACATGGCCGAGTGTCGGGCGCGGAACATCCCAGTCGGTTTCACTCCGGACGTCCTGACGAATGCCACCGCTGAACTCACCGTCGGTCTTCTGCTCGCCACGTCCAGGAGGCTCATAGAGGGTAATTACTCAGCTGTGTGCAAATAGTTATATGACTCTATCTTTCTGTACGATTTTTTTTAAAATTAGATTTATACAACTCACTTTACCTGACCCTTATTTCAGCTTCCAAATCAGTCCGTGATGGCGGATGGGGAACGTGGGACCCGTTATGGATGCTGGGTCACGGATTAGAGGGCTCTACGGTCGGAATTGTGGGTCTGGGGCGTATTGGAATGGCAGTGGCCAGACGACTGGCTCCTTTTGGTGTGAGTAATTTTCTGTACAGTGGACATAATAGGAAAGAGGAAGCTTCGGAAGTGTTTGCAGAATTTACAGACTTTGACACTTTACTGTCAAAATCTGATTTTGTATTGGGATGTTGTGCGCTTACTAAAGAAAATCAAGGACTTTTTAACAAAAATGCGTTTTCAAAGATGAAATCCAACGCAATATTCGTCAACACAAGTCGAGGTGGACTAGTTAATCAGGAAGACTTGTTCGACGCTTTGAAGAGTCGACAAATCGCAGCAGCTGGATTGGATGTGACGTCACCGGAACCACTGCCGACTGAAAGTCCCTTACTTTCACTTGAGAACTGTGTTGTTCTTCCGCATATAGGAAGTGCCACAGAGAAAGCGAGAGGCGCCATGTCCGCGCTCACTGGACGAAATATATTAGCTTGTTTACGTGGAGAAAGCATGCTTTGTCAAATAAAATGATATAATTATTGTGAATGTCAAGTTGTTTAGGTTTATTATTCTCATTTACCCAGGGCTTTGTACGTATAAAATTGATAAGTTCATAGTATACACATGCATGATTCTTTTTCGAAAAGTTGAAAATAAACTTGTAAAGTTTAGAACTGTTAATTAGATACCTATAGTTGAGAACTAATTTTGGTTGATACTGAAGATAAAAAAAGATGAAGGCATAAACAGATGAAAAACTACAAAATTCCATTTTGAAAATTATCAAAGTTCGTTCGAAGAACAAAAAAAAAACTACATGGAATGTACACAAACAGTCACGCAAAATCTTGAAATTAAAAAACACGTATTTTATTTCAAAATAAAAAAAACCCATAAATTACTTTACATCAAATTGGTAAACAAAAATACAAATAAAGTCAACAGTAAAATGAAATTGGAACACATTTGTTTTGTCGCTGCACTTCTCGAATCAACAATAAATAATTTGAAGCCGCCGTCCTTTGGCGGCCAAACTGTGGTCGTTGTGGGTCTTCTTGTGACGTCACCCGTGACGGGTTGTCGGCTGGGGTCATTTGTTGAAGATCCAATCCCTGGTCCCATGAGGTGGGTGATGTTTTTAACAGCGGAAAGCAGCGGATATTTTCCTTGGTTGCAGTATTTCCCCGCAAAATCGTCTAAATCCAGAGACCAAAACATCACACCACTAAAGTTATTATGAACAGCGTACTGGACCTGTATCAGTTTAAATCAAGACTTTTCATAATCTCATGAAACATAAATATTTGAAATTAATATTGTCATTTTTCAGTTTTTTTATATTTTGCGATGAAGATCCGTTATTGTATAAGAGACACGGAATTGCATACATTCGTAAGTTTTGCATGTTTTCGTTACATGTACATATGTACAATGCCGTGGAATCGTCAAAAAATCGAGGGGACGTAATTTCATGTATTCACTTACACTCTGTATATATACGTATAGACTTCAAAAATGGAAATGTCGGAAAGCCCCAATTATTATTTCGTTGAGGGTGTGAATTCGTGGATGCAGGGTACCAACGAATTCCACGAATATTGAGCTATCATAAATTTAAGGAAAAATATTCCTATACAAACCTTTAAAACAATAGTATCTGGGTCTTCGTATCCATACCACTGAGACCTATGATAACTGTACTTCTGTTTTTGTTCTTCGTCATACACTGTTTCATCTTTACTCATCTGACAAATCTAAAAGCGAATAGTTACCTTGATTTATTAAATTCATTGATATCATATTCTTGCACATTGTTTATATGTACATAAATCTACTTTTTCAAAAATCTATATGAAAGTTCATGTATGTCTGTTGTTGTCGACAACTTTTAAAAATTCAAAACGTTCGATCGATAGGGGATAAATACTCAAACATGGTACCTAATCCCATGTATTGTATGATGTGTTTAGAGGTCCGTGTTCGCTCTTCTACATATTCATGATATTTGAAAAGTTTCAAAAGACTTTGAGCTTTATTACAGTTCATTAGCTCCATATTTCATTGTTATGCATTTAATAAATGAAACCGACTGTTACTAAAGGACTTGTAGTTTTTGTGTCATTTATACCACACACGTACCTCAGGATAAGCCAGCCGCCCCTCCACTTTAAGTAACGGTCCTTCCATACCAGCTTCGGATACTGCATCCCCCACACCGTGGTTGCTGTTATTTGCGAGGGTAAAACTTGACCCTGCACCGTGTAGACCCATGACAAGTTTTTCAGGTGGGGCCCCTAGTTCTAAATACTTGTTCATCGTCCAGTTCTGAAAATTTAATAAATTTCACTGATTAGAATAAATTAGTCGATTTTTCCATCTTACTTTTTCAAATCTTTAACAGTCAAAAACGTGCATATACATGTACATGTACGTTTAACAGTTTCAGGGAGTAATGATTGTATCGAGAGACTAATTTTATAATGACTTGAAATTCTAACTTAAAATTCATAGTTGAATTTTTTGATAATAATTTCAATTTCAATTTTAGAAATAAAAGGTAATGTGATTTTCAGCATACCTTAAGTGATACTGTATATAGGGCTATTTTCGCCCTTTCACACTTGCAAACAATTTTGTCCCGTTTTATATTCGCCCAGTCAAGGTTTTGTTTCGGAGAGCACTCTGTGTTCTTTTGCTTTTCCCCGTTTTAAATTCGCTCGTCACTTAAAAGGGCGAAAATAAAGCGGGATCGAAAATGTCCCTGTATACAGTATAATTGATAAACCAACCTGCGATAGAGTAGTGTCGATACTCAAATCTGAATACCGGGAATAGAGCGGTGCCATAAAACCAGTTTTGTGGCTCCAGGGTCCAAAATAGTCGTACGCCATTACGTTGATGAAATCGACATACCTAAATAGATAATACATGATATTTTTGGTAAAATATGAACACTGTACTTGTACATAAGGCCATCCCAAATTATGCTTGGCGTCCGTGGACCGGGGGGCTAAGTGAAAGAGAAAAAAAAATCAAACCTACAAAAATAAACTTGTCAAGCAAAAAAGAAAGGAAAATGTGATTAAATTCTACATAACAACTCCCTATGGCCTAAAGAAGACGCCTTCATTGTCAAGTTCGTCGATGGTACAGGTGCTTGAGGACAGAACACCCTCCATTCGATATGGACCCTTGGACCTTTTCAACTTTTTTCTCATAAATTATCTTTCAATGACATATATGTGATATATACCAACAATTCGAAAAATTACCTAAAACAAACGTTTTATAAAATCTACCCTATATTCTATATATAAATTATAGAGTGGGGTAAAAAAAAATTCCAAAATTTTCTGAATTAATTGACAGAATAGATTATATCACAAATGTGTCATCCATATATAATTTATGTGAAAAAAGCGAAAAGGCCCGGGGGTCTACATCAGGGTCCTGATTTCGAGCACCTGTGTCGATGGCCGCAGATTTTATAGTCAGCAACAGTAGATGGCGCTTGATTCGATACTAACCAGGTTGGGGGGAAACGTAAATTCCGCTATAATAGTGGTATCTCACTATTATAGTGCAATTACGCTATATTTCCTGCCGTAGATACCCTCAATTTCATCCGATACCATGCAAGGTGTTTGAACCGCAAGTAGTTTGAACCGCAAGTCATAGTGGGTATTAAAATGATCAAAAACTGTCATGCTTGCATGTTTTGAATTTTATTAAATTTTCTACCGTTGCGAGCACTCTTTTTTTAACGGAAGTTGCATTTTTATCATAGCAACCGATGATTACAGGGTATTTAAGCCTGTTTGAATCTCATTTATTCCTCATTTAAGTGCACAAATTGATGCTTGTTACAATTGTCAACTCAGACTGGAAAGGGTTTATGGAATTAAACAAGAAAAAGATTATTTCTGTCTGCATGGTTACGGGTATGGAGGCCTGTTATGGTAAACGTAAAGACCCATTATTATCGGTCGCCGCTGCTGCGGCCGATCTTCTTGTGGTTGTGTTAGATTGTGCACATGGGAAATGAGAAGTTGTTTTTGTAATAGTTCAGTAAAATAATTCTTCATTGATAACATGTGGAAAATCATAAGTAAAATTTGCTTTAAACTAAATATTAATTGTTGTTATAATGTTTTAATTTCATTGTCATTTCTCATCAAGAAATTTGATAATTTTGACTATGTGAATAGAGTTTACAAAAGGTACTACATGTATATAGATATAAAAGGAAATTATGATTTTCCGGATGGTAATGACGTGGTACACAGTGCATGGTTAAAAAAATGAAAAACTCTTCAACCAATAAAAATTGTTTTGAATATGTTACAGCTGCGAGTGATACAAGGATACTTTTGTTTCCACATTTTGCAAAGCGCCTTGCATCATAGCCTGTTCTGCAGAAACCAAGGGCATTATCACGTGATAAACATCCAGGGTATCTGCACGTTGTTCGCTCTTTTTAATTTTTGACTATCTTCAAAATAATGTAAATAAATAATTGAAAAAAATAAGTAAATAGAGATTTTAATGCATTTGCTCATCAGATGGATTCGTCGATGTAATAAAGTCAATGATGAATAATATTAAGAATTTATTGAAGATGAAAATATACGCTTCTAAAGATTCTAGTTCAGCTTTGAATATCATGTGCTTCCATTGCATGGATATGCTTTCAAAATTGTGTAAGTACTTTTTTTTAACAAATGCTAAATTGTTTACGACCGCATTGATGTTTTGCATCAATTTTTAATTGTTGAAAATTTGAATTGAGTCAATGATATTTTAGACACTTTTTGCTGAATACTGAGCAGTGGCGATTGGTTATTTGATGTTTCCTTGTGGTTTAAACAACAACACTTTGTTATAAATCTAGAAGTCTGAAAAATTGATACTTTTAGTGTGATTTTTTGCGATATACTTTCATTTCATATGAATATAATTAGATTTATATATTTTAATTTCGAATAACAAGAAAGAAAAAACCTACAGCTATTTCTCTCAGATTTTAAAGTTAAATCGTTCTTGCCTAAGTGCATAAACATAAAGCGCCAATAAATAAGATACGTTTATGCGGAGTTTAAATGATGGTTAATTAATAATTATTTGAACATGTGTTAAAATAAGGTTACAGGCACTCTTGTAAAATATTCCCGACACCAAAGTAAATTGAGTCTTTTTTCTGAAATAAACAATTAACCAGCCGAAATTAAAAATTAGATGTGTTTTCTACGATCGTTTTTATAAGTATTTTTTGGATTATTTATTATAAATTGATTTTGTTAAGAAAATATAATCGAGTTTATCAGTATACTCTTTTTTATGTTTGCCATATTGGGTCTTTACCTTTACCATAACAGGCCTCCATACCCGTAACCATGCAGACAGAAATAATCTTTTTCTTGTTTAATTAAATAAACCCTTTCCAGTCTGAGTTGACAATTGTAACAAGCATCAATTTGTGCACTTAAATGAGGAATAAATGAGATTCAAACAGGCTTAATACCCTGTAATCATCGGTTGCTATGTTAAAAATGCAACTTCCGTTAAAAAAAGAGTGCTCGCATTATTAAACGCAACGGTAGAAAATTTATTAAAATTCAAAACATGCAAGCATGACAGTTTTTGATCATTTTAATACCCATCATGACTTGCGGTTCAAACACTTTGCATGGTATCGGGTGAAATTGAGGGTATCTACGGCAGGAAATATAGCGTAATTTCACTATAATAGTGAGATACCACTATTATAGCGGAATTTACGTTTCCCCCCAACCTGCTAACTGTAACAAGCAAATTCAAAGAATTGTGGTCCCCCGCTCTCGGTGTCTTTGTGGGTGAGATTACATTTTTATGACATTTTGTGTCAAATATGAACGCCCTATCATCACCCCTGTCAACGCGCGATCGGCAACGCGGATGCGATCGGCAACGCGGATAGCTAAACTCAACTACACGAGGAAGATGAGGTTAAATAAAACATTATTTTGTCCTATTTCCTCGCAATTATCCTTCAACATTTCTGACTTTTAAATGCTACTAGACATGTTCAACACCTTAAAAGTCTCCTACGCATTAAAAATCACCATATATTATGTTAAAGTTAAGTTTTCCTTGAACATGACTGCCCTAACGTGACACATAAAGCTCGTTTAAGTGGTATTTCTTACCTTATTACGTATACCCGACAGTCCAAAAGGCACATTTGCATTGTAAATAGGTAAATCATAAATTTTGAATCTGATTTGAAGTTCTTCATCAAATAGAAAGCGTTGAAATAACGGTTTGAAGTGAACACATGCCAAACGTTTTGGCGATCGGCAACGACTCTATATGCGATCGTACAACAAAGAAAATATGATAAACATGCGATCGTGCAACTTGAAATTTATAAAATAATTTTAATGAAATAAAGTAATAGATAGCCATGTGGTATGGGTGGAAAGTCTGTCAAAATAGAACGAAATACCAAACATTTGATTTTCGAGAGAGAAAGAGCGAATTTAACTGACGTTCTTGTATATTAGTTGAATAATGTCCGTATTTTAAGAGAACAAAATTTAAAACTCCATGGAACCCTAAAACTTGATATTATTTGATTATTGTTTAAAACAGATACATATAGAGTGTTATAGGACCGAATTTTAACAATATAGAAAAAAAGGTTTTTTTGTCTATGATCACAGGTGCTTGAGGACAGGACCCCCCCCCTTTCGATATAGATCTCTGGGCTTTTTCCATTTTTTTCTCATAAAAAATCTTTCATTGCCACATTTGTGATAAGATCTATACCAGCAAATCGAAAAATTACCTAAAACAAATGTTCTATTAAATTTACCCTACATTCTCTATATAAAAATTTTTATATAGAGAGAGGGTAGATATTTTTATAAAATGTAAGTTTAAGCAAATTTTCTGAATTGATAGGATAGATTATATCACAAATGTGTCATTCATATATAATTTATGTGAAAAAATTCTAATAGGCATGGGGTTCTATATTGGGGGTGGGGTGGGGGGGGTGGGGGGGGTTCCTGTCCTCAAGCACCTGTGTCTATGATATGGCAGTTCAATTACAGGAGTTGGCATACATATCAAAAACTGTATTTTTTTCCAGAAAATAAAAAAGATATGTATTAATACTATAAAAATAAAGATCAAAGGAATTTGCATATATACCTACATCTAGCAACTTTACCGAATATTTTCAGTAAATGTTTTCAGTAAAAATGTGTTGTACACGCACGTAATAATATAACAGCATTATGTATTACATGATATATTTTAATTTACTGAAACTGTTACCGGTATTATTGCCAATTTTAATATCATACACGTACATGTACATTGTAGAATCGGGGATGGGGTGGGTTGAAAACTTTACTTTCATAGGCGTCGGAAGCAAATTAAAGGGGGCTAATTTGAAAGGGGGGCTAAACCAGTAGACTGGTTGTCCCCCTTTTGCAGTATATAGTCAAATCCGGGTAAGACAGATGGTATTTTTTGGATAAATTTGGTTGTTCAAGAAATTGAATCATAACACCCCCTCTCCCTCCATCCCACACAACACATTTCCGAAATTGAATTTTGAGTTTAGAAAATGTTCCTTTACTTACACTTTGCATGATAAACCATCTAAGATATTTAAGGTTTTTTTAGGGGGAGGGGGAGGGGTGACACTGTTATGAAAATTGAGGTGAAATTTCTGCTTTACATTTTTGTTAGCCATCAAACTCTTTTTCAATTGTATCTCTTTAATCTACGTAGTTAATTTCAATTTTCTATAATGATGTAGGACAATTTTAAGAGTTAAAAAGGTACATCATAACAATGACTGATTGCCTAATTTAAATGTAAAATATCTACTGTATATCAAAATAAACTTTTTGACAACAAAATTCTCTGATTTGTGCTATTCTAATTTCGTGTGTTGTACGATCGCTATTTCTGTGTTGTACGATCGCTTCATAAAAAGATAATGTCGTTGACGATCGCCTCGCGGTTATCAAATTTTCCAGTTAAAATTTATTTTAAGATAATGTATGTGGTTTTAATTTTAAAATCATTTAGTTCATACTTTCAAGAACCGTTACATAACAAAAGCAGCAAATGTTCTTAGGTAATAACAACAATAAACTATTTCAAAGCATGAAAATTTGATATTTTGAACAATGTCGATTTGAGGAGCATTTGAGAGAAACTGTGAAACAAATTTACTCTCGGTAAATCCTAAACTGTAGATAATTATCTAAACTAAATGTTTGCTAATTTTATTTTCAGCTGGTTACACTCCAGCACATACAAAACTATTTAAATTTACCCCCTACAATACTTTCTTCTTCAATGTTTTGATCTGCGTTGCCGATCGCATTCGCGTTGCCGATCGCGCGTTGATAGGGGTGATCATATGTCATTTAGAAATTATCACTGAAGTTGATTTTTGTTAAAAATAAAGTAATTCGTGAAGGTCAAGGGGTCAAAAATCATAGCATGCTCGGAAATATCTTGTCACAGGAAATTCGCATGTCAAATATGAAAGCCCATCTCTTCTCAATATAAGGAACAAGATGCGTTTGTGAAACACTGTATGGCAGCATAGCGAAGATTAAACTTTTCTTAAATGCAAATTAAATATATTATTACCGAAAATAGGGTCTTCTCACACGAAGTGCAATTGTGAAATACGAAATCTCTAGCACCACCTGTTCAAAAGTTATGGCCAAGGATAAATTTTTCAAAGATAGGACAAACTCCAAGGCCAAATGGTCAAAGTTGTTGGTTTCTTCAGAAAGGTCTAGTCACAAGGATTACATACATGTATGTGAAAGATGTAAACCCTAACCGTTCAAAAGTTATGGCAAAGATTAAAGTTTTTTTTTTAAAGTAGGTCAAACTCCAAGGTCAAGGTCATTCTTGCTATCCAATGAAAGGTCCTGTCACAAGGATTAAATAAATATGTGAAATATGAAGCCTTAGCCTTAACCCTTCAAAAGTTATTGTCAACATGGTCAAGGTTTGTTTTTTAAAAGTAAATTCAACTCCAAGGTCAAGGTCAAAGGATCAAAGTTCTTGGTATCCATTGAAAGGTCTTTTCACAAGAATTACATATGTGAAGTATGAAAGCGCCAGCCCTTACCATTCAAAGGTATGGCCAAGGTTGATTTTTTTATATAGATACGGAAATCTCCAAGGTCAAGGTCAAAAGTCAAAATAATTGTTGGTATTAAATGAAAGGTCTTGCCACTAAAAATACATATGTGAAATATGAAAGTTCTAGTACCTACTGTTCAAATGTTGTGGCCAGGGTTAAAGTTTTCAAAAAGTAGGTCAAACTCCAACGTCAGATCAAAGGGTCAAAGTTTTTGGTATCCAATGAAATGTGTTCTTACACGAATTGAATATGTGAAGTATGAAATCCCTATCCCATACTGTTCATCAGTTATGGCCAAGCTTAAAGTTTTATCATAAGTATGAAAATCTCCAAAGTCAAGGTCAAAGGCTTTTGTATTCAATGATAGGTCTTGCCAGAAACAATAAATACCCGGTATGTGAAATATAAAAGTCCTAGTATCTAACATTCAAAAGTTATGACCAAAGTAAAAGTTTGGAATTTTTGTGTAAAAGTGGGTCAAACTCCAAGGTCAAGGTCAAAAGGTCAAATTTAGTGGTACCCAAAGAAAGGTTTTGTCATAAGGAATACACGTGTGAAATATGAAAGTCATAGCGCCACTTAATCAAAAGTTATGGGCAAGGTCAAAATTTTTGTGACGGACTGAGAGACTGACTGACAGACGTACGGACAGACGAATGAGATTTAATATCCCCTCGCTTTCGTGAAAGCGGGGGACAAAAATTGATTCGAAACCAGGAAAATACCGGTAGAGGCGAGGTTGTCGTAATTGGCATCTTTTGGCCTGTTATCACAGGTGTTTGGACAGAACCCTACTTTTACGATGCACCCCACTTTTATGATCTTTTTTAATTATTATAATTCTAATATAAGTTTCTTTATTTCTTATCTCTTACTCTTACGTTCCTGATCATTAAATCACCTTGAAATCCGACACATTACCTCTACATACAATATTTATAGCTGTAATGAATTTCAAGAATTTGCATCTCCCTTGGATTTCAAGGTGATTTCTAATTGTATCATGATCTGTCCTATAATCTTTAAAGATAATTCAAATTTTTAGAATATAGTAACTAAATGCAGTCTTAGTTTCATGAAATTTTTATATCGACTGAATGAAACTCCCCCCCCCCCCCCACCTAAATTACCCCCTCTCCCCTGCAACGACTTCACATACACACCGATTATTATATTGACCCCTGCCTTCTCCATAACTTCAGTACTTAACAGAATGACTTGGCATTAAAAAACCTCTATGATTGATTGATCCAATAACTAACCAATTGATACCCTTTTCAGAAAGATCCTGTAGAGGCGACAGTGTAACACCAGAGGCGATTTAGTGAACACCAATTCGTCAGTAGAGTAAACCAAATACTAGTAATACATAAACCAAATCCTTTATGACCACTAACATACACGCCAACGATAAAAGGAATTTATTTACATTATTCATTTAGTTACATGTCCACTATCGATATAAGTGTTTTAATTTAGTTTTATATTCATCGCCACGTCATTTTAATGAAATTACAGTAATATAAAATATGCACCTATACGTGAATAATCATGTAGGCTTATATCATGTACAATGTCTTTTTAATTATCAATAAAATTTGCAAAACAATTTTAAACTGAAAATCTGACATACACATACAATGTATGAATATGAATGGGAAGCGCCTATGGCACTTTTGTTTGTTCAATTATTTTATTCCCAGCGTAAACGTTTTGTATGCGTTGCAAATTTCTGAAGTTTATTTCGTGATTATAAATGAACAGATTTGCCTCTTTGGAAAATAAATTTTTCAAGAATGTTAAAAATCATAATTAGAAATTATTGGTTGTGATTTAGTTTGAATCTAACTAACCAGTACCGCAAATTTTGGCGATAATAGTCATGTCCATCTTAAAACACTATTACATTTTAATAATGTTCCCGTATACAAAGTTTTCTACGACAACTACGTTGCAACATGTTTTAAAGCTGAAACATTTTTAAAACAAAAAAGAAAGAGAGGGTAAGAAAGAGCGAAAGTGAAAGAAAGTATGCTTGGAGAGAGAGAGAGAGAGAGAGACGTAGGTGAGGGAAAAAAGAAAGGAAAACTTTTCTTTCTTTTTAACTGCCCTATTCCTATGCCTCCTCGACTCTCTACTCCTGGTAAGAGTGGGAGAGATTGATTAAGGGGAGTGAGTGAGTGAGAGAGTGAGTGAGTGAGTGAGTGAGTGAGGGGAGACTGAGTGAGTGAGTGAGGGGAGAGAGAGTGAGTGAGGGGAGAGAGAGTGAGTGAGGAGAGAGAGAGTGAGTGAGTGAGGGCAGAGAGAGTGAGTGAGTGAGTGAGGGGAGAAAGAGTGAGTGAGGGGAGAGAGTAAGTGAGTGAGGGGAGAGAGTGAGTGAGTGAGGGGAGAGAGTGAGTGAGTGAGGGGAGAGAGTGAGTGAGTGAGGGGAGAGAGAATGAGTGAGGGGAGAGAGAGTGAGTGAATGAGTGAGGAGAGAGTGAGTGAGTGAGTGAGGGGAGACTGACTGAGTGAGTGAGGGGAGAGAGTGAGTGAGTGAGTGAGGGGAGAGAGAGAGTGAGTGAGTGAGTGAGGGGAGACTGAGTGAGTGAGGGGAGAGAGTGAGTGAGTGAGTGAGGGGAGAGAGAGTGAGTGAGGACAGAGAGGGAGTGGAGAGAGAGAGGAGGGAGGATAAAGACTTTCACTTGAGAAGCCTTTGGGCTTTAAAGGCTTTTGCTATAAAATTTATCACAATAATTCTTCAAGGTCTAAGAAAGATCCTTATTGATTTTGAGATCAAAGGTTAATGTTCATAAATTTAAAACATTCTGTCTGTTTTAACAGTTTCGTTTCCGTAACATATCCTGATTAACCTTTGAACTTTCGCAATGATATTTTATACCACAATTCTATGGCTTAAAGAATTAAGACCCCTAATAAAAATGTTTTAAAACTTATGAAAATGTTTTTTAAAATACATATATTTATATAAATGGTTTTTAAACACTTATGAAAATGTTTTAAAACATTTATGAAAATGTTTTCTTATTACTACACCTGCAACATTTAAAATATAATTTTTGCAACAGTCTTTGGAAACAATTTCAAAATGTTTCTAGAACACATTACGACATTTATGATTAATTCATAACGTCGAGAATTCCACGCCTTACTGAGAGTCCAAGGATAAAAGAGATTGGTACTTGTCCTATGTACTTACTTTATGATTTCAGGCATATCATACGACTCTTCGATGTTATGTTTTCCAGGGGCTACTGCTATGGTGATCAGTTTCTCTTCACTTCCGGTTTCCTGGGCTTTGGCAGCAAATACAGACCTTAATTCCTAAATCAGAAAGAATATTCAAATTTTCAAAAATGCTTTATAATTATTGACTAACCCTTTCAAGACAATTTCACTTGGGAGATATGCACGTTAATTGTAACCTTTGCATTTTAATACTTAATTTTCGGGTTATAATTTTCAAGGAAACTCACAGGTTGTTTTAGACTTCACCTTGATGTTTGTTGCTAACGTAAACTCAAAACTTATTAATGTATATGATACATCATGTCACCCAAACAATTTGCTAAAATGTAAACAATTTTTAAAAAAAGAAAATTGAATCTAATACGAGGGCCGTTCAAAAATTACGCGGACTTTGCTATTATTTACTCTTACAGACGTCATATACAATGTAGTTATAAAATTTCACAGAAATATGTATCTTAAAGATTTCAATAAATTTTGGGCAAAATTTCTGTATTTTAAAAAAATTCTACTAAAATTATCGGTATGTTGATATCGTTGATGGAGAGGTACGGCGCATGACCAAAAAATTGAAGCAAAAGCATGCGGATTCAAAACTTTAAATCATTGATTTTCTAAAATTCGCGAAATTTTTCAACAATATTCTCAAATGTAACTTTAAATTGTTCTATTATTATGTATTTAGATTTCGGTCGTAATATTTGAAGTACTAACAGAAATATAGTGATTTTTCTCTGATGCGATTCCCGTGAAAACGACTGTGAAAATGACGTCTCCTGAATTGACGGCGCACCACACTTTTGTTAAAATATGTGTAATGCTCGAGATATCGGCAACATAGATCCAAAATATGCATAATAAAACATGTAGTAAACTAGGCTACTCGTGACATTCGCCCACAAATAGCAAATTGAAATTTTAGACAGTTAGACCTCTGTAAAAAGGCTGTACGGGAGGACGGGAAGAAGATTATAGACGAAAAGTTAACTTTATCCGGACTGTAAAGAACGTGATTGAGAGTCACCAATATCACACTATATCTCATAAGTAGTTTTTGGTTTTAAAACAAAAAAAGAATATTCTTTACTTGTTTAATAGATTTTAAGCTTGACAAGAAATGGTGTTTTGATGATGAGTAGATAAGGTAACTCAAACTATACAGGTACTCAAGGGAAAATGTTGAGAAAATGAAAGCTCAATCACGTATTTTTTATAATGCTTGTGACGTCGAAGATTTTGCTGCGCCGTGACTTAATGGTATGTCCTGAAAAATCACTCAAAATTAATACCAATTTACAACATTTTTATATGAAATTTTGAAGATCATATAAGTAAAGATTCTTTTATATTATTTGTGAAATTTTGCCCGATTACTAGTATGTCGTCAAATATTTCTTCTGTGCAACAAGTCCGCGTAATTTTTGAACGGCCCTCGTAAATGAAGAAGAATGCAAACAGCTAGTTTCGGCATATTAAGTAGTTTGGGGGGCAAAATATGAAAGAAATTTCTCTGTAGTTCAGTTAAATAAAGGGCGAATACTCATCAAATCCACTTAGAGTTGCCTCTCTTATTTAAGGGCTAATACTAATAATCATTTAATGTTTTTCATTAATATGTAAAAAAAAAAAAAGATGAATGTATGATTTGCACATGTTGCATTACCTTGAGAAAAATAACGAATTCATTTCTGTAAATAGTTCCTGGAAATTCCCAGTCAACATCAATTCCATCAAAATTTCTGTCACGGATATAGATGTAAATATTCTGTGCAAATGATTTAATATTCTTATCGGATCCCATTATCACTTTAAAATTATTCGACGAAGTCTCTCCTCCGATCGACAAAATTGTCTTTAATATGGGATTTTTCTTTTTAAGTCCTGTAAAATCAAACATAAGTCCTGATCCTGGGATTTTCCCGTCATCTTCCTCTGCATATGACCGCTGTAAGCGTAATTCTTGGGGGATTATATTTGCAAATGCATAAATTAAATGTGTACACAGAAAGGGGTCCAGGTGTTCTTTAAGGTGAAATCTGGACTTCACCACCGCTCTGTTCTCTGACCAGTTTGTGTAATAACACACTCGTTTGAATTCCTCTGCATCTGTGAAAATAAATTGATAATACGGTTTTTAAGAAAAGATTAATGTGATAATGATTTGTCATTTTCCATACAGAATACTTATTACTGTTTCATGTCGTACATAAAATGTATTCAATTTATTTGTCTGTTCGAATTTTCTCAAGCAGAGAGCTACGTTTTTGCATCAAGTCCATATCAACTAGACATTGTTACAAGTCCATATCAACTTGTCACAATGTTTAGTTGATATGGACTTGTCACAATGCCCAGTAGTTGCAGAAATGTTACTAGCTCTCTGGTTGAGAAAATTCGAACGGACAAAAAGTCCATATCAACTTGACATTGTGCCAAGTCCATATCAACTAAACATAGAGAAAACCCAGAAAAACTGGACATTTGGACGAGTCCTGAGCAACTGGACAGGGGGACAAATCCAAAATGACTAGACATGGGAAAAGGTCTAGAACAATTTTACTAGACAATATGGACAAGCCCAGAACAGCTGGACGGGAGGGAGGGGTGCAAGTCGAGGACAACATAACATGGGGACAGGTCCAGATATTAGTACTAGAGGTGGACCAAGGACAGATCAACATGCATGGAAGTCTGAGGTGAACTAACGATGGTCTTACATGTATTTACTAATGAGTAATGACTTGCACATATAAGTAGTGAGTCAGTTGAAATTTAATAAAGGATTATCCAGATATTCAAGTGAGGGTTATGTCATGTTGTAAATTTTGTGTAAATATTGTCATCTGGTAAATTCAAAATTTAAAGCATGATAGTTATCTCTTTCATCAAAAGTTCAATGAATCTTAACCCTTCGTCTTGATTGCAAAAAAAATGAATTGGTTAAAATATGTTAGAAAACTTACCTATATAAAGTATGACTGTGATCCACAATAAGACTTTTACAGCAATTGTTTTAAGGAAAGACGCCATTTCATTCAACTTCTATAAAACAAAAAACAAAAAAATAGGTGATTGTTTGAACAAACTTTAAAAATATTTTTGTACATTAGTATGGTCAAATGACGCCTTTGTATAGAAATATATACGTAACCATAGGAATGATTAATTTGAATGTCTAAGTTTCTCTGTTTCTGCACAATTGTAGTTATCGAGAGATGACAGATTGTGAAAATATGCAAGTACACTGACTGAGTACATTGACTGATTAACAATAGCCACATTTATAAATGAATGAAATTAAAACTGTATTTTATTCAATAATGATATCAAAAATATATACTAGTATTCAAGCTTCTTGTCCTATCACTCGATCCGAATGACAGTATTTTGGAAGTTTATCAATGGAAAATATCTAATATTTAAACTCAATAGTCCAAGCAGTGATTTTTTTTTATCTCTTAAGCGTACCGTTAATTTGACACGTTTCTAGGTGAAATAAAAAAATTGAATATTAATGAATAATAAACAGCTTACATTTTTAATGGTGTTGATTTTCTTAATCTCTTTCTTCAGTATCACATTAACACTATTAACTTCTGTTTCCTGGTCTATATTGTCGTCTGCGGACTCATCCCTGTGTTTGCGTTTTCGCGTTGTCACGCCTCAACAATGATAAGGCTTACCTGTCACAAAATTTGAATCATCAAAAATGACCAATTACTTACTATTTAAAAGGGCTTGTTCATTGTAATAGAAAGAAATCGTCGTTACAATGTCATGTGTTATGTTTTTAATTTCAAAATTTATTGCAATTTGTATAGTTTTATAGTTTCTAAACTGGAATTTACAAATGTAAAAAATAAGCAGATCAATGCAACGTTAAATGGAGTTAGTTGGTTATATATTTTCGGACATTTTTAAAAATGTCAATAAAATTGATTAAGTACAGATGTATTTTGTGCTCATACGGAGTCTATCGGCGTGTTTCTGATGGGCGTTTCAGCCTTTGGTCTTGGTGATAAGAATATTTGTCGTGCCTTAGAGGAAAACAGCGGTAGAGCATACCACAGTATCCACAACGTAATAGATGCCATGTATCGCTCACATATGTACTAATATCTATAAGAGTAACAGTTTATAACCCAAGAGAAAGTAATAAACGCCTGTGAGATTTTTTAAAGACTATAGTGGTCGGGGTATGGTACCTTATATGGAAATTATCCCGATGAAAAAGGCGGATGAATATTCCCCAAATTCGAGGACAATGCATGGGTTGTCATAAATTAAACTTCGGGAAGGGGGGGGGGCTGTCGGCGGATGAGGGATTGAAATGATTTCATTAATTAGATAACCAACCAGTCTAAAAGGAGAAAGACAAAATGATATTTCCTGGTAGGAGAATTTAGGAGAATATTGATCGATATATCTAACACAGCTTTCCATGTATTATCGGTTTTTGGGGAAGGGTGTTTCACATCCCCCCTTTTTAGCTCACCTAAGCTGAAAGCTCAAATGAGCTTTTTTTATCACCCGTTGTCAGTCGTCCGTCCGTCCGTCTGTAAACTTTTTACATTTTCAATTTATTCTCACGAATCACCGGGCTTATTTTAACCGGACTTGCTACAAAGCATTCTTGGGTAAAGGAAAGTTAAAATTATTAAAATGAAGGCCAAGTCCCCTTACAAGGGGAGATAATCAAGAAGAGACAAAAATAGGGTAGGGTCTTTAAAAAATCTTCTTCTCAAGAACCACTGGACAAGAAAAGCTGAAACTTATGTGGAAGCATCCTGTGATAATGTAGATTCTAAATTGTTAAAATCATGACCCCCGGGGGTAGGACGGGCAACAATAGGGAATCCAAGTTAAGCATTAAAGTATATAGGAAAAATCTTTAAAAATCTTCTCAAGGACCGCGGGGCCAGAAAAGCTGAAACTTACGTGGACGCACCCTGGTATAGTGTAGATTCTAAATTGTAAAAATTATTACCGCTGGGGCAGAGCGGGGCCACAATATGGAATCCAAGTTGTTCATTGAAATATATAGGAAAAATCTTGAAAAAAAAATCTTCTCAAGAACTTTCTAGTGGCTGATTTTATTATCAACGACTTAAATATTAATATGTAAGATTGTTATTTCAAATATCATTTATTTAATTAAAACCTCCAGAAATATATACGGGTATATACATGGTGTACGTATTTAATAGAGACAATGCAGTTGAAATTCAGTCGCATTTCTGAAACCTGCACTAATGCTTGTTCTTCTTCCAAATGTAGGCCAGCTCGGAATTTCCTTGATTTTGCAAGCTTACCGTTTTTTAACATCTGTGTTCCAATTAAATATTCCCTCCGAAGTAAATGAGCTGTGTATTAATTCTCGTTTAGTTGTCTTTCTTCTATCGATAAGATTTCTCCCATTTCACTTAGACAGCAGTTTTATCTGTGGATGTAGAGACGAATTACAGGCCCGATAGTTCTACTTCGTTTAGTTTCTATCTATGCGATACAATTTAAAAAGATTTGCCTTGAAATCAAATTATTTGAATTACCCTAAGAGACATCCGAAATTTATCTTCAAATGTATGCAACGTTGGAAAGTTACGAAAAATCTTTTACTCTTGCATTTTAGATACAATGAAATTCCTTTTTGTAACACAATCAGTTTTAATCGATCATAGAATACATATGACTTTTAAGCAGTTTAATAAAGATTAAGGCAATGTACCTTGAAGAAATGTTATTTTAATGTTAATTTCAGGCTTTCACTTTACTTATCTTAAATTTAATACAATAATTATTAATTTAATACAATAATTATCAATATTAATGTATTATCTAAAAAGTGAGTGTATTTTACTTATCAATGTTTTCTTCCAAATGTTTACATTTTAATCAATTATACATGTACGTGTAATATATACGATTTAATATTCGAAAGATATAAAAATCAGCTTACTTTATAAAAATAAAATCGAGGAACTCGCAGTTCCAGATAAGAAATACTTGTCGAATACCAACACGAAAACCTTATATTTTATTTGACCCATGGGTGCTGAGGCTCGCCTGTGTTCAGAGTGTTTTACATGTACTTGGCATGATATAAAAATGTTATTTTAAGGTCTGAATACATTTATAATAACTTTGCAATTTTTTTAATAAAGAAAAAGTCTTCTAAATAAAAATTTGCACGATTTTAAAGCTTATAAAAAATACATATTATCCCCCGAAGAAAGTATTGACATTCCCTCAATCTAAAAATGTATTTACACGTACATGCATTTAAGATTATATGCTTCATCAGATATTTTTTTTGCATTTTTAAATCCTAAAATTTCTGCTTATTTATTTTCAGTAGCAAAAAGTACATGTAGTTGCAACCTCTGGTGCCTGGTGAGCAGAAAATGTTGATACCATCATATAATGCAAACGGAGCATGACCGCATCATTCCAGAGGCTGGTATAAAACCCCGAGTCTGCAGTCGGCGGCCAGACTAAGTCTCTAATCCAGTCATGAACGCTTACATTCTTATCGCCCTTTGTGGTGCCTTCGTGGCTACAGCCTCCGCCAGTGATCTCCAGGAGCAGATAGACAAGTTTTCTGAGGAGCTCTACAGAGTGAAGGCAGAAATAGCCAAACTGAAGGACAAAATCGAGGCGGCCAGGATATCTGAGGATGAACATAGTAAGTTCGGTTTCCTTTACTTTAGAATTTGTCACATTGAGAAAATACCGGCATACGTTATGAGATTTTATGAAATTAAGGATTCCTTCATGAAATTGAAGAGAAAATATCATTTTAAAGAAATAGGCCTGCATTGTATTTTTAAAACTCTAAGATAAGAAAAAATTATCTTTTCTTTCGTTATATCATTGTTCTTACTTAGTTGTACATGTAGTACTGTAGCGTTATGGTTTTATATATTAGTCTTTGACCATAATGCTTATTATTAAATTATGGTCAAAGACTAAGATATATAAAACCATAACTCTAAAGTACCGCAGCTATCTCTGCACAATCTTACTATTATTATCCAAGATCGGAACAAGAACTCTCCCAGATAGCATATATACAGTCGAACTTGACATAACTACCAACTGAATTTTATTTACTTCTTAGATTTTAATTATATATTTCAACAGCATTCAGTGAATTACTTTGTGTCATTTTTCGTTCTAAATTAACTCTAGATCCCGAATAAGACGACGTTCATTTATCTTTTCAATAACAGAGAATTTGAACGAGTACAGTGTATGCCACTTCTCCAAAAACATTAAAACACCCTTATATCGAATTGACACTTGCAGTGAAGTGATTCTCATTCTCAGATGCTTTAAAATATAATTATTATAAACTTAACAGTTCTATTGAATACGTTTATAAATAAGGAAAATCTTCAGTCCCTGGGAATATTCATTATAAGTGTGTTTTACTGTTTACCAAAAGAAGTTAACAAAAACGTACTCAGATCATTAAATAAAATTTTAAGGTAGAATAAAAATATTTATACTAGGATATTAATTATAAAATAAATATATTGATTTATAACGCTGAATTTTAAAATTTCAACAAGAATTGTATTATAACTGTATACAAAATTTGCTGCGTTTTATTGTTGTACATGACTTGAAAATGTTCCTACGACGGTTTTAATATTAAAGTTTTTTATCGGACAAACAAATAGAAGGTCGGAGAGGATAAACGAATTTTTCTTCCGATCTTCGAGAACATTAAAAAGTTGCAATGATGTGCAAATACCATTTTATTTACTCTAAAAGGCGCTATCAGACAATAATTCAATTGAATATCTCTTGTAGAGGAACACGAGAGGCAGAAGCGACATGGCTACTATCAATTTGCCCCCGCGGCCTTAGCAATGGCAATGGGACCCCCCGGACCTTCAGGTAAGACTGTTTATGAGCTTACTGTACATTAAGGACCTAGTTTATGCAGTGGACTTTGGATTCACGATTTCCTTGTGACAAAAAAAAAAAAGAAATATCTCCTTGTATTATTACCCAAAATACCAACATTATTTCTATTTCCTATTTAACAAGCAATATTCTTAACAGCATAGAATTTTTCAGAGGTTTTTTAAACACTTTTTTTTTCAATTTAATTTGTTTTCACATGTATAAAAAATATTTGATAGGAATAGGAACGCTACTTAAATACTTGGTAATCCATCAAACATTTAAAATATTTTTACTCTTTGAAAAGGACCCCAGGGACACCCAGGTCTTCCGGGAGAGCAGGGTAAGGAGGGACCAAGAGGTGCCCCAGGAGTGAAAGGAGATATCGGTGAGCAGGGAGCTCAGGGCATCACAGGAAACCCCGGCCCACCAGGAGAGCAGGGACCCCAGGGTGAACAAGGAGTCCCTGGCCCCGTGGGTGCTGAGGGGGCACCTGGTATGATGGGACCCCAGGGAGAAAAGGGACTGACCGGTGACCAGGGACCCCCGGGCGCTCCAGGTATGTCATTTTATAGTTCTTTGATTAAACTCCTGATGAAGTATTTTTTGTTTACAGATATTATTCAGGCAACAGCATACTAATCAAATATAAATTTCTTTTCTAAACAATTTTAAGAAGGTAGAACGTTATGAAAAAAAGAAATGCGCTAATATTATATTAAAATTCAAAAATAACATTGGAAAGCCTCGCTTATCGCAATTTTCTTTGAACAACCGTGGGTAAACGTCTTTTTTTTAATTCCAAGTTTAACTATCATGATCTTGTTCAGGAAATAAATCATATTTAAAATTACAAATAATTTGAAGACTGATCACAATTTTCTTCTATATAACTAAGTAATTTATTTTATATTTTACAAAAGGTTATCCTGGCTTCCAGGGAGAACAAGGAGACCAGGGATTAGCCGGACCCCCAGGGCCAGGCGGACCACAAGGAGTGCAGGGGGTACAGGGATACACAGGCGCCCCAGGGCAGGCCGGAGCAGTCGGTGAACCAGGACCAGCCGGCGAGCCCGGCCCCTCAGGTCTTAGAGGCCCAACTGGCCCTCGCGGAGAATATGGCGTTACTGGAAGACAAGGTTACACTGGATACCCTGGAAAACGGGGAGACAGGGGATACACCGGCTACCCCGGACCACGTGGTCCAGCAACCACGTACGTCTATGCCCCAGCGGCGGGCACGTATTACGCCGTGCGAGCACCAACACAATCAAACTCTAAAGGACAGTACGCCGTGCGACCACCACCACAATCAAGCTCTAAAGGAGTACAGTACGCCCCGGTTGTAGCGGCACCAAAAATGGGATACGCTCAGGGGGCACGTATGTCTAAAATGCAATACGCTCCAGTGGTAAGCAAAAGTGCCCAATACGCACCTGTAATGAGCAAATCCATGGCTGCAGCAATGTATGCTCCCAAATCTATGGGATACGCCCAAGCCCCTCAGGCATACACCAAAGGTTAAAAAAAATAAAGAACTAATATCGTTAAATTCCTTATTTTGTTTTCTTTTTATTTGGCCATCTTGTTGATTTTGATGTAATGTTAATAAAAGTAATTATTGTTGAAAAATTATGTCCATAATTCAAAAAAAAAATTGAAATTCAATTAAGGTATAGAAAATAAATTTGATTAAAATTTGTGTCATTTGTGTATTGTTTTCAATATTATAATAACTGATTATTACCAATTGATGATGCTCACTGGATCAGGAATTTTAAAAAGTGTGAACAATCACAGATTTTAAAAACTCCAATAATCGTAAACATGAACTTTGTTGCAGGAATTTTAATATTTACAACTTGTATATGCAATTTAATTCGAATTAAAATTCATTGTAATTACAAATACTGTTAATCTTTGTCCACTGTTGTGTGAAGCTTCTTTTAAGTCCTGCTATCTTGATTGATTAAATTAAGACAACTTCGATTTCTAATTGGAAAAAAATCCTATCATTCATCCAATGGGGCATTTAGTATATTCGGTTTGGTATTTGAAGTCGGAAATCACTAATCTAAAGCAATATGAGCTGCAAATTTGATGTCGGAAGTTGTCGATGCAATATTGTTATTAACTATTTAAATGACAGAAAAAAAGAACGTTTATAAACCTCTCTTGTTTTTGCGATGGAAGAAGTAATTACAAGCTTTAAAAGAAGCAAAATTACATTACTGCCGTCCTGTGCAATAGCGACTTCTGATATAATACTATACATTCCTTTGGTAGGAGATCTTTCTTCTGTAAAAGATTTAATACTTTGTTGTAGTCTTATTGTTAACAGATTTGTCATAACAGCACATTTTAACAGCAAAATAAAAAAAACCTCAAATTTACTGCAAGGTTACTTACCGATCGGCAACCCTCGGCTGACTCCGCTACGCTCCATTCGTTAGTGTGCGAGGTACGAGCCACTCGAGGTGCTCCGAGTGGTTACTTACAGGACTCTTAGATCATGTAGATAACTTACAGATATTTTAGCACAGGCACCTGAAGTATGGATTATACCCCCCTTTTTTAATGAAAAAAAATGTAAGAGTGTATTAATACCTCAAAAATATAAAAAAAAAATTCCCCGTCAAGCACATCTATATGTCGTAATATGCAAGCAGATTGTACTTTTTCTCGCGTTTAAAGAATGACCCTATTCGGTATAATAAAAATCTACCCCAACATTTTATATGATACTATGTACCTGTATTCGGTGACCAGATTTATACATTAATAAATAGATTAAATGCACTTGGTTAAACTTTGTAAACCTGAAATAATTTCATCTTAATTAATTAGGGATGTCAAAATATATATTTTTTTTAGTCGAACATTCGATTGCATTATTCGAACGATAGTCGACTATTCGGAACATTTTTTTCATAATAAATTCTTGATTTCCGTTTTACTTTTGTTTGCATAGACTATGCAAGAGTTATCCTTCTTTGGTGTATGCATTACGTATGCTTTTGACAGATATTCACAGGCATTTGACTTGTAGCTATTATGTTTACATGAAATTATATTTATTTAGTTTTAATATGCATCAAAAACTACCAGCAAATATTTTTTAAACTCATATAAATAAAATACGATAAACACAGCATCTACACGTCAGGTGCCCGTGTGACATTGTTAATACCGCGATTACCGTAACTTTAAAACAGTTAAATGCCCTGAGCTTAATTACAACACTACAATGTATGCGTGTTTTTATTAAAGTAATTATCAAATTATCAAAACTTGTGTCGGCTACCGTATGTGAACCTTTGAACATTACTAAAATAACAATATTATGGATACATGGAATGTAATGACTAAACAACTGTGTTTTCATTATAATTTTAGAAACAAAACCCAGCACAGTGATTCATAATTTATCAGAAAAACAATTGTTATTGACAATTATCAGATTATAGAAGAGTATTAAATTAATATGCATTTATACATTGATAATGAACAATCAACAGTTTTTGTTCAGAAAAATAATTTTGTCAACAATTTTTTCATAAACAGATAAATTTGTAATCAAGAGTTATCGCTCTTTTTTATCGTATTTTATTTAGTCGATAGTCGGTCGCTTTATTCGATAGTCGGTCCTTTCGACTGACAGTCGAATAGTCGACTATTCGTTGACATCCCTATAATTAATACATCGTCCACCTGCAATTCTTCTCCCATCTAAATGTCCAGTTAAGCACCATTCTTTTTAGGCCTTAATGTTCTTTCATATATTTAAATTCATCACTGTTACACATGTATTTTTATTATACCGAATAGGGCCATTCTTTAAACGTGAGAAAAAGCACAGCTGTTTGCATATAACGACATATAGATGTGTTTGACGGGGAAATTATATATTTTTGGGGTATTACGGTACTAGTATACACTCTTACATTTTTTTTCATTAAAAAAGGGGGGTATTATCCATACTTCAGGTGCCTGTGATTTTTAGCAGTACATGTTGTATTTCAGTCAATATTTAAGGATATTCGATCCTCATCCAGTAAAGATAACTATTTAATTTATAATCTGATTCAAAATGTCTCAAAATGAAGCTTGAAATTGAAATGTTTTCATGCAATTCTTTTTTATTTTATGCATCTCTAAAGGTATTACAACAAGCTAATTCAGAGAATCCCCTCACTTAAGCAAAAAGAATATGCACCGATCGGGAGGGGTATTCGAGTGGGACACTTTTAGAAGTGTGGAGGGGACCATAAGAGATAATGGTAAAACAATGCTAAATCTCAAAAGCTTCTCGAGATATCGCGCGGAAACGAAAGTGTTGGAAAAGAGTTGAAATTTGATTTTATGGCCTTGACTTCCGGACCTGAAAACACTAGGGACCTTTCTTCGGCTATAGGGAGTGTTTGTGTATAATTTCATTGAAAACGCTCATAGGCTTCTTGAGATATCAGACATGCAGAAAGTCAGACGGACAGACAGACCGAAATTAATGTCTTCCACTTTTAGTGAAAGCGGGGGACAAAAGTCCATATTTAAAGAAATCCAGTTTCCTTTAATATAGCCTTAAATACACATGTTTGTTGGCATGATATGAAATAAGAAATGATTTATGGTGTTTTGCAATGATAGGAAATGCTTTACACACTATGCATTAAAAATGATTGAAGTAAATAGTAGAAACTAAAGTACCGTATAAGTTATGTTTAACAGTACTATAATTTTCTTCAAAAGCCTTGATACCTAAAATTTACATCCTAAAATATATTTTGTTGATCAATTTTCAATATTAGGATTTATTTAAATAATAAAATGCTTTCTTTGTTTGTTATTACTGGAATTAACGGAAGCAGCTGTTGCAGAAAAAATACATAACCCGCGTAAGCGGGTTATGAAAATTTTTTCTGCAATAGCTGCGACCGTTAATTCCAGTAATAACAAACAAAGAAAGCATTTTATTGTTTATGTTTATATCTGTTTAAATAATCATTTAAAGAAGGATTAAAGAGTTTATTTATTGTATTAATGATGCGAACGTCTTTATACGTTTCATTGATGGAACAGCCACTGATCAAGAAATCTGTACAGGCGAAATGCCTAATGTAGTTCATACAGTGATTAACGCAATGGGGTTTCTTAAGAAATAAAAGGGAAAATATTCAGTGGATGTAAATATTAATTCATATTAAATAACTCTAAAGATTGCCAATAAGGATCAATCTATGGATAAATAGATAGAAATAACTAAAAGGCGTTATTTACATGATTTACATAATTATATTCAAAAGGGCGTCATTCCGCTTTCTGAAAAGGCGTAAGAACGCCTTTCGATCGGAAAGACGTTCGTACGCCTCTTAAGTTTCTTTTTTTCTCTCTCCATAAAATGATCCCAAAAGGTTTTCGTAAAATATGGAGTCTGAAGAATAAATACACTTTTCCGTACTTTTAAACTCCAGAGATATTTTTATGAGCATTTAAAATTATTCAACGCCTGATTTTCCGAACCTGACTACCTCAATACGGTAAAAGTTAAGCCTCATATATAGGAACGTCCTGGGAATATATCACATGTATTACATAAGAACATGATAAATTTATGCAATAAATTTCTTGTTCGATCAGTACTTGATTTTTGTTCTGTGGTGTAAGATATACGATTCACCTTATTTGAACTATAGGCGGTAAATGTTTAGATATTTGCCAATCATGATTGATGTGTAAGGTCATGTAGATATTAAAGAATTTTCTTTCATGTTAAATTGTTCTATTCAAATAAAGTATTTTCTCATTGTTGGTTCAAATTTAGCTATCAGATGACTATTGGAAGCTATTTTATGAAATATAAATCTCGTCATACAGGTGAGAGTATGAACACTTGATTAATTCTAAACCTTGATATCCAAAGATTTCTTTTCAACAAGATTTGGTTTGGAAAATGTAACATTATTCCCAATGATACAGAAGTAGTGTTACTTATATTTCATATTTCATTTTAATTGATTAACGGTAATTCATTAAGGTGATATTAAAAAAACAAAAAAACTTATTTTTGCCCGCCAATAAAGTAATAAAAAATATCATATATATTAAAGTTTTAATTGCAACAAAAAATAATGCATGTACAAAATATACAATATCGTAAAATTTACTATTTTTACGTTTATTTCTGCAAGTGATAATTTCATAATCAACCTCCCTTCTAACAAGATCATAGGCTATACATGTATAAAGAAAAATCATCCATACCCTGGATATTGTCTACAAGTCATGTTACCATTTCAATAAACCTAAAACGAATACACCAATCAGAATCAGCGACGTAAAAAGGACATCAGAAGACACTGCGTTGGTTCCATTTCCGGAGGTGAAGTTTCCGGTCGTTGTAGTGATTGGATTTTGATTTACCGTAACTATGGTAACAGCGGCGTTAGCGGCTGTGTTAGAAGCTTCTGTAGAGTTCGCCTCGGAGTTTTCTGTTAAACAATGAAAAAGATAACGTGTAACATAATAGTATTTGGAACTTTAGTACTAGTATTTTTAAATGGGGAGGGAAGGGGGTCCCTCTTCCTTTGGATCTGCAGAGTTATCAAAAGTATTCAGTGAAACTTTGACCCCCCTCCTTACAAAAGTGGACCTTACAACCACGAAATAGGATTTTTCTCCATTTGGAAAATGGATTGAGTTATGTTTTTTTTTTTCAAGATAAAAAAAGCAAAACGGAAAATTTTGCTTTCATTACAGAAGGATGTCCTGTATATACGAAACAAGGACCTGTGCTATTACAGTGTAATAACGGTTTGGGGAAATATTTAATGATGGAAGTAGTGAAACAAATATTTTAGGAACTGGCGATAAATAATATTTTGAGATGGCAGCTTGAATACACGCTAAAAAAAAAGCCGAAAAACCACGCTTTTTTATTCACAATGTATTTATTTAAATGGGTGGCACTGTAGCTACATGGTCGTCCAACCCAATTTTTTCAGACCAGCGAGCTACAAACCTACAGATAACCAATTCTGCAAATGGATTAAACTTTAAAAAAAGAAAAAACAGACTAAGTTGATTATTTTTAATCAAATGAATAATTTTTACTTGTAGCTCTAACATGCTAAATCTGCGGTAAACTGGTCATTTTTGCTTGCTTTAAAGAAAATGCAAAAACTTCTGGTGAAAATTATTTAATTCACTAAATTGCCTATAGAATTCTTACAGATTATACGTGTATCTTAATTAAATATTTCGATTTAATGACCTTTCTCACAAATCCATTAATTTGTCCCTCGGATCAGAAAATACACACACAAACAAACACACCCTTTTACATGCAAAAACACTTTTATAAAGTGATTTTTTTTATTTCAAAAGATCTGAAATGCCCCCTTTTCTTTTTTCCATTTTTTTTTTTTTTTTTTTTTTTTTTTTTGAATGAAATCAAACATGATAAGACAATAAATACCTTGAAAGCTTACAGCAATGAGTAAAATAACGAGGATCCTCAGAAGATGCATGGTTTTTATCTGAAAAATAAATAATAAAAAGATCACACAAAAACAGAATATTTTTGACAAAAAAAATATAAAAGAGCATAAAGAAAACGAGGCTAAACGCAGATTGAATCATCTTCAATTTTGCGATTTTTTAAAATATATTAAAGGCCTTATTTTAATTTCAAAGAATTTTCTTGGCGCATTTATACATACAATGTACTCTCTCCTTTTGGGCTGCAGGATCTTTGGCTTTTTGAATTTCTTTCGTATTTTGTTCGTGCTTAAATACAAGCATACTTAAATTAAAAGGAAGAAAAATTTATGATTGTGAAATATGGCACTTTATCTCCAGCAAATCAAAAAGCATGAAAAAATCCTGTACAACCCTCATATTTTACTGTGTCGCCTTTGTTGAAAACATTTTCACGATTTCTAAACATCCCCCAAAACCCAATAGATCTCAAAATCGACACATTTTAAGAAATCCTTTGGCAAATAATTTTGGCTCGGGGACTCAATGTCGTAAATCTGACGCATTTATAAATTCCAGACATGCTGGGTAGAAAAAAATTACGATGTGATTGCAACATGTTGTTTCTTAACGCCGTGATATTGTCCAATAATGCATGTTTAGAAAATGTAATCTCAGATGAGTGATACTTGAAGATATGACTGTCTTATTCTATAGATGTTCAAACAAGTACCTATTGCACTGGGGGGAAACCAGCACTGTTCTATGTAGCATTTAATAACACATACATCAAAGTCTAGCATCTTATTTAGCAGACGCAGAAAAAATTTATAAAACTGAAAATATTTCTAAAATTGTAAACTATATTTCTTTTAGGATTTCTTGGTTTGAAAATAATATTTATAACTTTCAAACTTTATATAATACGGCAATATAAAGCATGCATGTTATCATTTCGTTTATCTGGGGGGTGGGGGTATACAATACACACGAGGAAAATTATAGACCAGGAATTTTTTCTTTCGAAATTATTTGATATGTAGTATTCCGCCATGATTATTTTTTCTATTACATGTTTTGTGTTTCAACTTTAAGTTTTATAATGATATTAAAATTAAACGGGAAAGAGTATATATAATACTTAGACCACATTTTCTCGCTATTTTCCACTGTTATTGGTGTGTGTTCAGAAACAGTGCAGGGAATACAACTTACCTACTAACCCCACAGGCTAAAGACATTTTTCCTGCAAGAACTCCATTTTACCTGACCTAGACCAAAACCAAGCAATTATATCCACGGCACCCCCCCCCCCCCGAAAAAACTTAATTACCATGTACATGTTATAATCAAAATAAAGATCATCATACGAATATATATCTTGACCTTAGAATTTGACTTGCAATTGACTTGTAACTTTCGTCTAAGTTGCCATACTATCAAACAGAAAACTACCAATTGAAAAAATGTTGTCTTTGTAGGTTAGTTATATGGCCATTTGCACAATTTATCTGAATTTGGTAGTTATTCTCTGCCAGCCCCTCGTTCATTTTGTTTCATTTTTTGCTATAAAGTTTACATTAATTTGACCAATAGCAAACTATTAATATTTTATACGGGTCAGTCTAGTGCATGTGGTGCAAATAGAAAAAATAAATAAAAGAGGAAAAAAAAGAAAGAAAAAGATTTAAGTGATTTATGCATTTATTCAAACATCCGCAATTACAAAGGCACCTGCACGTTCTCAAGAAAGTCATATATCTTCTTTTTTTAGACAAATATAAGTACATGTCTAATAAGTAGCAATACATACACGATTCAATTTAAGTGCTTATTTCAAAGCATGTATATTTTAAAATTCTTTATTGAATAACTCAAAGTCATACGGCTCACCAGTATAAACTAGAGTGTTCCAAGGAACGCATGTGTCGCCCGCTTTTAGCTTCTATCTCTCTCTCTCTCTCTCTCTCTTACAATATACTTCAGAACGTAAGAATTTTTAAAATACACTGTACATGAACAAAATGATTATGTTATACATTGTACAATTTTGTTTTTATTTAAGGTCATAAATCATTAGTTTAGACATAGTTTTGTAAGGATAATCTAGATGTGAGACTTTTCATAGGGTGATAAAGTTAGGCTGGAATCTAACATCTACCAATTAACTGGCTTCTCTATGGACTGTTATACATAAATGGATCTTATATCGTAAAAAATAACATTATTCTGCTTTTATTTATATACACAAAATTTTATTCACAAATAAGATTAAATTGGATAGGGCAGCAGGCAAAGCTTATTTTAGCCCTCTCCTTACAGCAAGGTCAAGGTAAACGCATAGATCTGCTTTTGGGACAATAGTAGGAATTCAAGTTTTTAGAGACATTACAATAATCTTTTTTTTTGGCACAGCAGAAAATAAGTCAATTTTTAAATTAGAAAAATTAAAATTTTCATACATTAATTTATCAGTTACAAATACATATATATACTGATTATAAAAAAAATACAATACTAAGGCCTCGTAGATAATGTCTGGTTGCTTGCGTCGTCGTCTGCGATGAATTGGGCCCAGGCTTTCACTATGTGCTGGACCGTCGGTTGACCCTTGGTCGCCTTGAACACCTGCTAAGCTTTAGCCGCTTGTGCCAAATCTTCTTGACCAAAGACTCCGAATCCGAAGGCGAATTCCTGCTCTTCGATAGGCTGGTCCTTGTTTTCTGCAACGAAGGAAGCGATTTCGCCGAAACACCTCTCCATTTCTTGGTAGAATGCTGCCTAGTCTCTCTGGTACGATTCTCCTAGGCAGGATTGGAATTCTTCTTGAGTCAAAGATACTCCGGGGCCTTTACGAAAAATGTAAGTATTCCACCATTTTGTATTGTCAAATCCCGCTTGTTATTCACCCTGTCGCCCAATATTTTCCGCATTTCTTCAAACTTTTTGGCAGGAATTTTCATGTCCTCTATCGAGAGTTTATTGTCCTGGTTAGCATTTAAGGATTTGAACCATATCGCCCATTTTGAATTTAGATATTCCATATCTCCTGTAGAATACAAAATACGTAATTAATATTCATTGTAGTAGGGATTAACTAAAATATTTTCGTGTATTAACAGAAATCTATGGTGTCCCGATAGGGCCATTGCAAAAGTGTATTAGCGCGTTAGAAACAAAACGGAAGCGCGTTAATGACAACGCGCAAGCGATATAATGACAATGCGCAAGTGTGTTAATGACAACGCGCTAGCACGTTGATAGAAACAACACGCAAGCTCATCAATGACTATGCGCTAGCGCGTTAATGACTACGCGCAAGCGCGTTCAACAATACAAGAATGCAACAATACAAGAATGCAACAATACAAGAATACAACAATACAAGAATACAACAATAGGGCATTGTCATTAACGCGCTAGCGCGTTGTCATTAATGCGATTGCGTGTTGTTAGAATACAACACGCAAGTGCATTAATGTTAACGCGCTAGCGTGTTAATGAAAATACACTAGCGCGTTAATAACAACGCGCTAGCGCGTTGTTCACAACACGACTTTGCGCTAACACATAACTTTTTGTCATTAACGCGGTAGCGTGTTGTCATTAACGCGCTAGCGCGTTGACATTAACGCGCTATCGCATTGTCATTAATGCGCTTGCGTGTTGTTTCTAACGCGCTAATACACTTTTGCAATGGCCCCATCGGGACACCATAGAAATCTGATGCAGCAGATGACTTTGCGTAATGGAAAAAAAAGTAAATTTGCGTAATGGAAAAAAAAGTAAATTCGATAGAAGTTGCGGATCTTATGAGTTCCCCGTCCTCAGCCTTTTGTACCTGTATACCAGTTTAATACGTTTATAAATGCTTGCTTACGTAATAAAACAGGATGGCTGCCATGCATTCATATACATGTACATGTGTACACGATACATATACCGTACATGTTTATTTAGTGGGTAGTTGACGCAGACATCCATTGTGCCTTACATATATGTGCTTGAGTACATGTAAACATATTTGTCAGCATTTATAAATTCATATTTGTTTATTTTGCTAGCAAATGGATTTATTGCTGAATTATACGGGAAGAAGAATTGGTTAGATCGTAATTTAATTAATCATCTTGCAGTCCACTCATTATAATTGTCCTAAAATTTATTAATTCGTAAAGGACAGTTCCTGATCAAGTTCAATTTATTCATCCACACCAAAATATCGGTACTTGTAGTACATTAACATATGGTTAGAGGTACATATATACCTAAGGACTTGTACAACTTGGTCTTACAAGTATGAGATGAAACTCGTTTACTCTTTGAATGTTCAATAATAATTTCTTTGGACAAAACATGAATGGAATCATACAAAAAAAACATTGAAATAAAAATTTCTTCTTGATAACATAATGATATTGATATACATGTACTGGATTTCCCTGTTTTGACGGAAAATCTAACTTGTACAAGAGTATGTAGCCAAGCATTATTATACTCACAGGGGAACCTGCAATAAAACACACAGGGTTATGGAAAACACAAAAAACGTCAAGTACGTCAAGTACACATGTAGTAGGCCTTCATTCCATAGTCAGCACCCCGGATATATGTACTCCAAAGAAGCCCCCCCTCCGAAATTCAATTGTACGTGTACTTTATTTTTTCTTTTGGTTTTCTCAAAGTGCCTTCTATTTTTTTTTCCAAAGTGCGTTGCAACAATGGTTTCAACCCGAAAATCCAAACTGGAAAGTCAGTCACTGAAGAAATCGCAAAAACTCGATTTAATGTTGTTTGCTATATTGATTAGTTGGACGTTTTCATATTTGATTTTGCAGTATCGAAAATCGAGTTCAGTTGTAAACGGCGAAATTTCCTATTTCATTAATGGAGCCCGTTCTCTCGTTTTACCGGTATGTCAAATATAAGATTTTCGGAGTTGTATTCCATCTTATATGAAATTAAAAGAAAATTTATCATGTTAGATATTTGACCCCAACAATCTCGTTTGAATGAAAAAAAATTGCCCCCATTTTAGTGTAAGAAATATTAAGATTAAGTTTAGGATCAAAATTATTTATGTCGTTCTAAAAAAAAGCGAAATACAACAGCATTTTCGGATTTGTTCCCAATATGTTTATAGTTAAAATTGATTGCCTTTACACATTGTTACATGTTTCTATAAATTTTGATAGCATTTAATAAGGGATATTGTTTTTACAGTTATAATTACGCATAAGCCGAAGAGAGAAAAAAAACGGAAACTACAGCGGGCGCCGACAATATAATTAAATTTAATTAGAAGTAAAAAATTAGCTGCTTCCGTATGCTTGACACTTTTGTGATCTTTAAAATACTACTAATAATGTTCTCCTAATTAACTTCTTCTAACCTTAGCTTGAAGAATAGATACTTGGATGGTCACTTTCACGATTAACCCCGAAGAGACCAGAGATGGCAGAGAAAAGAAAGAAAGGTAGGATATTTTACAATTATTTACACCGTTTATTCTTTCTTCGCTTTTTGCTCGCACTGAGCAATGCTTTGGTCGGTAAAATATGCTAAATGAGAAATATATTAATTT